ACAAATAAAGTCGTCTACGTATCTTTCGAACAGTTTTGTTTCAATACTACAAGTTGAAATGTCTGGTAAACGCGACAAATTTTACAATACCATACTATATTACCAGTTTTTGGTATTTGTTGTTACTGGTGTTTTGACTTTTTGCATTAAACCAGTTTTCACATTTTTCACATTCAACACCTTTACTGTTCCAAACAAATTTTTACTGCATTTTGGACAATTTTCAAATTTTTTTTTGTTATTTGGTGAATGCCATCTTTTTCTTATCAAATATTCCTTCAAGCAATTGCATCCAAATATTAGCCAAAAATACTGCCAGGGATGCACCAATGGCTAACCCATCTTTCTATAAATACCATTTTTCATTGCTTTTGTATGAAACATCTTTTACGTTTAACTTAAGCAGCAATTCAAGAGTTGAACACTCAATATCTGGGGCGTAATCAGCTCTACACGATTTACGTGATTTACGTAAGGCAGATTCCGATAAGGGAGCGTTGGTGAACAAACTCTTAACGTCTAGTGAAACAATTTGTTCATTTTCGTCAAGTACTAGTTTTTCGAGTTTTTCTCGAGCGTCTACCGTAGATACTTCAATGTTTGCACCAAGAACCTTTTCAAAAAGGGAGTCAAAATTTTATTCAGCTAATGATAACTACCGTCAGGAATTGGTTGAACCGGACGGAGTGGTGTTTCATTTGTATGTATTTTAACCAAACCGTATAACCTAGCGAGGAGTTTTTTTTTCATTTCGAGTATGTTTATATCTTTTTCTACATTCCAGATCAAACTATCAGTGCCCTTTTCATTCTCTGTAAACTGTAAGCAATTCAAAATTTCTTGTTGTTTTTTGTCAGAAGTATGTTTTTTCATGACACAAAATCGATTGCCTTTATCAAAAAAATACGGCAAAAAAATCTTTTCATTTCAAATATTTCACCACGCTTGAAAGTGCACAATCAATTGATATTTCTTTGATGTTGCTTGCTAAAAACTTTGCTGAGTCTTCTATTTCACATACTTTCACCCCTCTATTTCATTCTCGCTCAGGTTTTTTTTTAAATTGTCAATATCAGCTGGAAAATGAATTTCATTAAGCATATCCTGAATGGGACGTTTTGGACCATACGAAAAAATTTCGCTATCAAAAAATGGCAATTTAAAATCATCTAATGTTTCATTGAAATGTCAGTATTTTGTAAAGGTTTAACCTGAAAATTTGACAATTTTAGCAATTTAGCGTTCATTTAGTTTTCGTTTGTTACAGAAAATGTGCTGAGCTTTCGACCTAAATTAAAAACCACCGATGGCACCCACTTTTTATCTATTTCAACAAACGATAACTATTTCATCATTGTTTTTTAGTTCATGCTTCATTAGTCCTTTTCTGAAAACTTAGCACAGCTTGCTCAGAGAAATGATCAGTTCATGGAACACGGAACTCGAAAAAATCGAAAATAATATCATCATTCAAGAAGCATTTATCGAAAAAAAACTGGACAAATGCCATTCTCATGTTTTTAGAAGTTTCACAAGTTGCAACAGAGGTCGCCAATCATCAGTTTTCTTGCGTAACCATATTCAAGTTAGAATTGGCGCAGCAGTTAGAGCCATGGTTTGAAAGAATATCACAACAAAGGACAACTCAGCAACTCTGACAAATTGCCTCTGTTTCTCCAGATGCCGTCAGGGGTGTGCAGCTCCAGTTTCATAGCTTGGTGCAGTTCACGGTAGTGCTTCACCGCCCAGCTGTAATGCTGCTTTCATCTGGAGATGACGTGTTTTTTAACTTGATTTACAAGGCAGCCTGTCCCGAGTAATGTTTTCCCTGACAGAAGACAATTGCTTTGAATCAGTGTTGATTTTCCTTAAAGTAGCTGCACAATTCTTCCAGGTCGCAAGCACGGTGATTCGATCGATGTTTCATGATGCTGTTGTTTATGGTATCATGCCAAATTTTTAAATCTCTTCTATGGTTCAAAGTTATGCTCGATTCTATCAAATATCGACCGTTTTTCAGCCGCAGTTTGACGTAAGGACTTAGGTTTAGTTCAGGTATCGCATTAATATTTGGTAAGATTTCCGTCTTAGTTTCATAGTTGTGGTGTTTAAGGCATCAAACAGGGAGTTTGCCGCTAAAATTTTCCTTTTGTTCTAAAAATTCTTGATTTATAAGAACCAATTTTATTCTGCCTCCTGATGGGCTTTTGGTATTCGTAATTGACTTCAGAGATTGTTTAATATAGTTATAGAGCTAAAAAGAGAGTCAAACATGATTGATCGTGTCAGGATCTAGCCTAGATAATTGTCACAGCTACTTAAGATATCTGAACCAGTTTAGCATGTTTTTTGTGCGATTGCTTCCCTCTCAATTAATATCAATTAAAAATTGATGTTTTGCCAAGAGCAAATCGATAATTGGACTAATTAGCTTGCCTAACCCCGGATTGACCTTCATAGACCAAATATGCTAACCAAACAATTCCATAAACCAAGTCTCTGAAAAAAAATACTAGTCTTACAAATTTCAAACATTTTAAAAAAATGGTGTCATCAGTTTTCGAAGAATTTTTTTCTTGTTTTGGCTTAAAACTTGGTGTATCCCACTAAATAAAGAAGAAAAACTTTTTGTCAAAGAAAAAGCGAATCATACAATTTCCATATATGGAAATTTTATAACAATTATTTTTTTGATGGCGACAACAAAAATTGATCTAAGTAAATTTGAAAATATCCCAAATACTTTTTTTTTCAACCGCAAGTCTAATTTTGTACTCAAACAATTTTAAAAAATTTGAAAAAATTGATTGCATGCAAAATTTATTTTTTTTTGAATACATAACGCAGTCCTGGATACACTAATTTTAGAATTTTTTTTGCTTTTCGCTATCAACTTTTTTCAAAATTGCAGAAAACTCTTATTTTTTGTATGGCATGTTCATGTATGTTTTATGTCTTGACCAAAGTCTCAAAGTTAAAAATCAAATTTAAAAAGTAATCAAAGTTGAAAATTTAATGAAGCCGTTGTTTGATCTACTTTGAGTAACCAAATTTTTGTCACTTGTGTTCGGTTACCAACACAACCAAGAAATTTTGAGATATTAAAGTATCAAAAATCATTAATTTGGTTTAGAGAAAAATGCTAGTCATACAATTTCTATATATAGAAAAAATCACTAATCATAGTCATTCTTTGCAATTTTTTGTACTTATGGAGTTGCATGAAAAGTGTATGATTAGCATTTTTCCATATATGAAAATTGTATCATTTTCGGTCAACCCGGGACCTCAATTTGGAAAGACTTCTGAGCCCGCTTAATTTGCCGCTTACGCTAAGCGTTAAAAGAAAAATGGTCTTAATCGCGAATTGATTTTCCTAATTTAGAAAATTTCCAACCTTCATAAATTTACGAAAAAAGATAATCTGAGAGCTTTTTGAAGCTTGAGATCATGGTTTTAATAAAATTTCTGATTGTAAATCTAAATTTCCCCTCATGCGTTTTAAAAACTAATGTGAACCAAAAACCTTGCCCTAATTTAAATTTGAACAATTTCTGAACCAGATTCAACCAGCACCTATATTAACAGCACGAAATCTATCGCACGTTATTGTCTCAAATTGGCGAAAATGACATTTTTGAACGCCTATATTTTTTAAAGCACTTTTCTGGATCTCATTTTTATGAAACAATTTTGTGATTTTTGGATTTTTTGGGTGAAAAACTCATCCTGGACTACGTTATAAACACAAAAAGTCAAATTTTGAGCACAAAAGCAAGTTGGCAACCAAAACAGGAATTAAAAATTTTTACCTCAAATTTGTGTTATTGGTTTATGAAAAGATGCATATCGCACAATTGTCATATATGAAATCTATATGATAAGGACTTTTTCCGACCGAAATTAAAATTATGTTTTTGATTGTTAAAAAGCCCTCTATCTTGGATATAATTAATTAAATCTACTTAAAGTTACCCAGACACGTTATTCGGTGGTTTTTGAAAGAAAAATTTTTTATGACAAAATTATTATCTTATAACTTTTATTTATGAATATTGTATGACAAGCATTTTTTTTATCGAAAATTTTAAATCACTTTTTTAATAAGCAGAAGGCTTCAAAAGAGGCAAATAGACCAAAAATTTTCATTAAAAACTTTTAAAGCCCTTTTACATTTTGAAGGAATTTTATAGATTTTATATCAAATGTTTATCAAATGGTTCAGATCTATAGTTTCGTGTTTCTTTTTCTCGGTTATAGCTAAAGGATAGACAAAAACATTCAATTCCATTTCAGCAAAAAAAAACGTTTCCAAACCGTTGCTGGAGTTTGTTTATATTGTCTTGAATTATCCATGATGACCAGTCGATAATTTTTTTCTCTGCAGGCATTTTTTTGTCGCAGTGTAATTTTTGAAATGTGATCTTTTGAATTGTTTAATGACCGCTTGAAGCATTTTCGCTTCATGATTCACTTTTAGTAGTGATTTAAGCCGTAAAGAATTTAATGAGACAATAAAGTCCCCAGACTAAATGGATCGACTTTATTTGCCTGTTCGAGAAAGGGGAAAACATCAGGGCCCAGTAAACACCTTTTATTGTAGTGAGGTGTCATTAACCTAAAATGAAATAACCTCCACGGCAAGTTTGCAGTTTGTACTTGGTTTGAAAGCAGTTCGATGCAGTATATATTCTACTCATAGGCTTTGTTAAGTATTCGGCCTTAATTTTGGTACTGAAAAATTTTGCAAAACTTTTTGCAAGCAAAACTTGAAAGTTTATTAGGGTGGCATAAAAATTAAAGTAAAAAAATACAGGCTAAAAAGGCTTCATTTAAAGTTTTTTTTTTCCAAAGAGGTCAAAATTGCCAACTAGTTGCGTTTTTTAAGATGAAACATGGATAGTATTAATAAACGCCTCAAATTATCAAGAAAAACGAACAAGCTGTTAGTGATAATTTACACTAAATTTTATAAGCAATGTTGTGTTTTGTGTTCCTAGATAGCCCTGGACAGTTCTACCGGCCACCTGAGCAGTGGTGGGGGTTCTCAGGGCACTGTGGGTGTGGGGGAGGGGGGACAAGAGGGGGGCAGTAGTCTGCCCTGTACTGTGATGGCTGTGTGTGATTATGAGGCAGCAAAAGAAGATCACATCTCGGTCAAAGCAGGCGACACTATCCAGGTATATGCTTCTTATTCGAGAATTTTAGTGCTTATAAATCGCGTCCTGCTGTTTTTTGACAGACTTTAAGTTTATCTGATCAACCCAAAGCATAATTTCGATTCCGCTTCGTTGAACAGTCGAACCGCTGGAATTCTGGTTGAGAGTCGAACAACTGGGATATTACTTGAGAGTTGAAAAGCTGGGATGCTGGTTCTTTTTTACCTTGTGAAGAAATCGTTTCAATAATACATAAATATCTTACAAGTTAGAAACCCAAAAATGCCTAATTGAGGCCAAGATTGTCCCGAAAGTATACAATTTTGACCTAGACGAGCAATAAATCATACTTGATTTTGGTCATAACTGCTGAAATGTTGAGGTAAAATCTCCATCCAGGGAGATAGTGATAAAGCACAATATATTGTTTTCCAAGACAGATTTATTGCAACATTTTTATTCTGCATATTTTTCCAGGTTCCAATGAAAGCAATTGGAAAGGTATCTGAAAATCAGAAGTGGGTCTGAGATTTTTTCGAAGGGGGATCGAGGAATATTTGGAAAAAAAAATTTTGTCGACTTTTTTATATATCTTTTTGATGAAAAACGAATTTTCTGGCCTCTACCAAAAAGTTTTCCGGAACATCAAAAAGTCCAAAAATTTGGGGCTGAAAAATGTGCAAAAAATTCTTAATTAACAATTATTTGTTTTCTGTGTTTTGTGATGCAGGTGTTAAGCGTGAGCAGTTCCCGTCTCTACTACGTATTCCGGGAGGGCAACGGACAGGACATCCTGGACGCAGAGGGTTATGTGCCCTGGTCAGTGATCAACGGGGGCTCCAGTGGGTCCACAGGGATGGGCAACAGTCAGGAGTCCCTCTCCCCTCGTAGTCCGGTGGGGGGACAGTCGACTGACAGGCTGAATCAGAGCCTCAATATGAATCTCCCGCCTGCACAGTAAATAAAAAAACACAAGTTTTGTTATTTCGAGTAAAATTTCTGCCAAATTTGTTAGCGTTTATTTCCAAGTGAAAATTTGAACACCAATAAACTAGATCAACGCTGATAACGCCGGGAGAAAATAAGATATAAGGCTGGATTTTTTTTGGTTTTGTGTTTCTAGGTTTACGAAATTGTTGTTATTGCTTTTAAGTTATTCAAATGCATAAGCACCAATAAAGCTTACGTGTTGGTGTCGTAATATCTAAAGAGAAAGGGTTCAATCTGTGATATTCCTAAAGAAGAGGTTTAACTGAAAAAAACTGGCGCATTTGTTTTTGAGAAGACTATTTTGAATTCGTCACATTTTCAGACGTTCTTCGTGGCACAGTACAATCCAGGGCAAACTTCTAGAACATTCTTCTGGTTCTGGTGCTAGTAGAGAGACAGTGAACATGGCCACATACAGAGAAGCTCAGATGAGGAACAGTCAATACCAGTTCAACACAAACCACAATGGAGAAAGGTCGGTGTTTCTGCATACCCGGGGGCCGGCGAGGTCCGCGACTTATGTTGCGATCGAATTCAGTCGCGCAAATAGGCTTTCCGCGAACAAAATTTCATAATCCCATCTGAGGTTTAGTAAGATCCGAGTCATCTAGTAAGAAAATCCTCATTTTATAAAAAAAAAATTCAACAGTTATGCATATGCAGTTTTGCTATCCTATTTGAAAGCGAACCCTCTACTTTCTTAAATTAAAGAGATCTCTTTGAATCAAAAAATAGAAGGGTCCTTATCTCTTTGGTTAGCAAAACCGCGTATGCTTAACTATTGAATTTGTCTTATAAAAAATAAGGATTTTCTTACTGGTTGACTACCATGATACGACAATAGACTACGAAATTTTGTTCGCGGAAAGTCTATTTATTCCTCTTTCAGAAAACGCGGATACTCTTCACTGGGTGTTTTTTTGCGAAAAATTGTTACAGAGAACCGTGTTTATATAATCAATTAGTATTAAACCTCTGGGACTACAGTGCTAAGTTAATTCGTTCGGACAAAATGAACAAAAACGGAAATTTGAACGCGCTTTATTCAAATTAGGTTAATAATAAACAAAAAATGAAGAGACAAAATTGCATAAAATTTTGTGAAAATTACTATGGTGAAACTTATTTTGCAGAATATGTAACCGAAAATTTACCCCAAACATGGGTAAATTCAGTTTCTTTCAGTCAATCAAGACCTAAACCAAAACTTCCAAGTTACATCAAAAACAGTCTCTTACACAGCTCAAAAAAAATCATGGCTGGTTTAAAATCCATAAGTTTGCGCGAAAACTTAAAATATGGGTTTTGCTAACAATTGAATTTCATTGTTAAATCAACGTATTTCGGCTTTCAAGCAAAAGCATATTCATTTATACAAATTTGAGACAAATTAATCTAAGCTAAAATGACTTTTTGGAGTAAATTTTTGGTTCGGAGCATCGCAAATTTTATTGCACCGCAAAGGTTAAGATAAAAGTCCAAACACTTTTAACTTCTGTATTCTTAGTCTAATCTCGAACCAATGTGAGAAAAAGGCTCCAGGTAATTTCAATCAGCACTGTTGAAGATAGTGATCGTTAGAGCAAATAAAATCGAAGGTTTGAAAATCTTGACTGCCAATCAGATTTCAGTAATTGAATCTTCGAAACAACAAAAAAGCGTAAAAATCAGTCAGTTTTGAATATCTCACAGGCTGTTATTTTTTTGATTTGGGTAGAACTATTTGAAGGCTTGGTCTAAGTGGTTTGATTTTTGGTTACGGTGTGAGGGGGTGGGGGGACGGAGTGATGTTTGTTTTAGAGCTTGTCGCACGAGGGTGAGGCTAAAAAAAAAACATCTTTTTCAATAGAAGTTGCCAAAAATTGCTAAAAATCATAATCGGAGTCACAAAAATCAACAACTGACTATAAAACTAATTTTACTCGAAAAACTGAACCGCTCATTCTCTTTTTCCTTTTTGCATCAAAAAACAGCCAAAAATTGTAGACAGTTCAACTTTGATCAAAGTTTCATTTATGTGATAATATTGCCGGATGAACAATTGAAGATAAACAACTACAAATAAAACAGCTGGAAAAAGTCCAAATTGTTCAAGCAAAGTTGCGCTGAATATTCTGACTGCCGCTAATTTTGCTTTACTTTTATTTAAAAAAACCTTCGAAATGTATTCAATTAGATTGATTAGTAAAATATCTGTCATTCTTTAAGTCTTTTTGTGTCTAAATTATCTCGGATCGTCGATTGGTTAAGTTTTTGAGTGGATCCAAGAAGTAGCGGGGGGGGGGGGTATTCGACCCAGGGGTGGATCTAGGATTTTCTCGAGGGGGGCGGATTTTCAAAATTTTGACGACCTTTTTTTAGGTCGACCAAATTGATTTTCGGAGCTCTCCTAGAACACTTAAAAAACGCTGTTTTGGCCAAGTTTTCAGCGCAGCAGGCAAATTTTGAAAAAAAAAATCGGTCAAAAACGTTTTAGGGCACTTTTTGGATAATTTTGACAAAAAAAATTGCGTTTTTTTTGGCGCGCGCTCCCCTTCAAGTTAGTATATATTGGCGCCAAAGGCGTCTTTCGAAAAATTGTAGAGTCGGTCGGCCAGAAATGGATTTCTTAAAAAGTACCAAAGGGGGGACCCTTTGGATCGGCAGCGGATCGAATCCCAGAGAAGAGGCGTCCACCAAAACCCCTCCGCCCCCACCGCCCCTCCCCCCTAAATCCGCCCCTGATTCGACCCTCTGCCTACCCAAAGGTTCCTTCCTTTGTACTATTTCATAACATCCATTTTTGACTGACTGACCCTAAAATTTGTTTTAAAACGCCTTTGGCCCCAATATATACTGATTTTGATAGGGAACTCGCGGCGAACAAACGCCTTTTCTCCTGTTTTTTCAAAAATTGCCCACCCCCTCGAGAAAACCCTGGATCCGCCCCCTGGATCCAAGTCTGTTGGTCCCAGCTCACACTGTTCTTTCGAGTGTTACCTTAAAATCACGTTTTCAGGGGTCGAGAAAGCAATAGAACACGGAAGACCAAAAGTGCAGCCTCCCTTTCCCACTTATTCAAAGCAAACAACAATATCAACAACAACAACAACAACCCCAACAGCAACACAAACAACAACAGCAACGGCACAGCTTCATCGCTGTCGCATTCAGTTGTGAATACTTTGAGAAGGAAGAGTAAAAGTCGCCAGAGGTCATCCAGCAAAGCATCTTCAGGAGCTTCATCGTCATCCAGACTTCAGTTGTTCCTAGGAGGAGAAAACCCCGGCTCACATTATGTTGTAAGTTTTTGATTTTATGTTTTTTCCAAATTATAGACAGGGTTGAATAGAGGAATGAGTAGTCTCATTGGGTGTCTTGCAGTTTTCATGTCAACAAGGTGTGTAGTGAGAAAAACACTGACTGAATTTAGAGAAATAGACAAAAAGGTCCTTCAGATCTCATCTAACCGTTCGAGTGTTCACCAATGTTATTTCAAGTTTTGATTGAGATTCACAATGTCTACCCGGGTTGACCAAAAGTCACTATCTTAGAACTTTTTCTGTAAGCATCTTGCAACTTCTTATAAAATTAGGCTTTTAGAATGTTACAAAATAGGGACTTTTTCTCATAAGAAAATTGTAACACTGTTACTTTTCTTACGAAAAAGTTGTAAGATAGGAACTTTTCCTACAAAAAATTTTCAGAACTTTTTTACATGTTTAATTTTAAAAATTTTCCTATAAATTCAACATTTCTCTGCTGCTGCAGAGTACAATAACGAAAAGTCGTCGGCCATACTACTCCTTTTGCTAAATGAGTTTACTGAAAATCTCACTTACTTTACAGAAGTAGTTTTTTAGCTGATAATTAGAAATTTCGTCGATAGTCAACTGAACCCCACATACAACCCGTCCGCAGCTATATAACATGATTCGTCAAAATTGATTTTTTATTGTCTCCAAATTAATTTCGATCAGCGAATTCCGTATAACTAAGAGATTCATTGAAAAAAACTCATATTTTTTTCTCGGATTTTTTTTGTTCAAAATGCAAACATAATAAACACCATCTAAAAAATTTTATAAGAAATAAAAAATGATTTCCAAAAAGGATTTTTATCTGTTATTACGGTATGGAAACACATTCAAATTAATTTTGGCGACTTCTTGGATTGGCGATTGTTTAAGAGTTTTTCATTTTTTTGTTCTACAATTTTCCAACCTTCTGTTATTAGATTATTATAAGATAAGATTACAACTTTTATAGTTTATAGTTTATCAAATGACAAGTTATATTCAACGTTACCGTTATGTGCCAGGTACTACATTTTTATTCAATAGGATAAGTTCTAGATTTGTACCAATTCTACCCGGATTACCCTGACTGTTTCAGATCGGCAACAGGAATAGTGCTTCGGACCTCACTGTCGCAGATGGTAAGTTCATCCAAACTCTGTTTCAAAAGACCTTTGGAACATATATACGCGTTAAAAAAGTCTAATTAACTCGATGAAATTGATCACATTTTTCCATAATAGTTCAACCTATTAACTTTATTTTTATCTTACAACCGAGAGCTGTTTGATTTTTCGCAATCTGCTTGGCGTAGGCCTCGCTTTTTAGATATACATTTTTTACAAAACTAGATTGAATAGTTTAGATTCACTTTCTATGTTGCTTTATTTTTCAAGTAATGGCAACTTTTTCCGCAAATTTAGCTGAACAGAATTTTAATTTGCACATTTTAACAACATGCAGCTTGCCAATCATGTTGCCAATCTTCCTCTGAAAACCCATACGCAACACTTTACCCAAAAAGCCCCACCCACTCCTGCCCTAAACCGAACGGGGGGTCTAAGCATCGTTCCCCCGATCACATCTCCCAATCAGGTTGGGCTCCGTACTTCCTCAAAGTACCTGCGCAGTCCGTAATCACCGTCCAGGCCGGGGAGAAAGGGTTGTTGCAGTGTAGTGTCACCGGATGGCCCCCTCCAAAGGTAACCTGGCTCGGGCCGAACGGCGAAAGTGTCAGCGACCCAAAAGGGGATCGGGTGCGTCGTCGGAACATTCGGTTGGCAACACGTGAAGACGGAGTCTCGACTGTCGAGATCCCCAGTTGTCGCCACGAGGATCAAGGAACATATTCGTGTGTGATTAGCAATCAATTTGGTTCTTCTATGAGACAGATTTGTCTGATTGTCAAAGGTGTTATAAGCGTCACAAATGCTGCATGAATTAATGTAATTGATCATTGTCGATATAACACCTCTCAATCATTTAGTGTTTCATCAATAATTATTAGAATAGAACAATTATTTAATAATAATTCTGCCAAATTCTTTAAACTCATGCATTACTATAGTAAAATAATATATTATAATGAGTTACACTATAACCTATAAATTTGATTTTATCAACAAATCAAGAGCGTTTCACAGTTAATTAATTGCTCTTGGATTCGTAAACAAATGGGCTTTGGGCCCAATTCTGCAGACTGCAACAAAAATGAACAGGGCTTTCGAAACCCTTTATTTCCATATTTGCAAATACATTTATTGTCATGCACAAAAAATGTTTAGAAGTATTTCATTGATATGCTATCGTGCATGTTTAACCATGGTCGTCGTTTTCTGTTCAAAGTTTTCGTTGGATCTACTTAACAACCTCCCCACTTTTTCGACCAACCTAAGCCTTAAAACCTGTTTTAATGTGTTTTAGAGCTAGATCCTTTAATCTCTTTTGAACCTAACTCTTTATAGTGTTTTGGGAAAGCCCGAAAAATTGTTATGGGTCGACCTAAAGTCTAAAAAATTTTCGAAAGTTATTTTAAAACACACCTCGAAATATTTAAATCCGCCCCTTGAGGGGAGATTTTGAGGCTGATAAGTAGATCATTTTTGTTGAATCATTTTCCTTTTTCATCCGATTTTGATGAACCAATTCTGTATTATCCTGTTCGATATTTTTCAGGTCGTCCGGGTGAGCCAGGGAAGCCGGAGATTCTAAAGAAGAGCAGAACTTGTGTGGAGATAGGCTGGAGTGCCCCCCTACACACTGGCAACCAACTCATCACTGGATACACCATAGAACTGGCACGCAAAGGTCAGTGCCAGCAGAAAGGGATCTACAATTTTCTCGATGTAGGGGGGGGGCGGATTTTCAAAAATTTTATCAAGCTTTTTTTGAGTTTTCGAGCGCTCCCAGAACACTAGAAGAATTACAAAATTGCTTGCGCTGCGAGCAAGTTTTTCAAAAACCTGGCAAAAAACGTTTTGAGCAATTTTGACCAAGAAACCACGTTTTTTTTTGGCGCGCACTCCCTCAAAAATAGTATTTATTCAAGTACGTTTTCAATAATCAATCGGCTCGCAGAAAGCAAACGTATTTTAACTTGAACTGAGGTACAAGTATGATAGTTGGTTTCCAGTAAAAAGCGGGTATGAAAGATAGGCCTGGCAGTTTTTGTGAAAACTTCAAAACAAATGCCAACAATGTTTTCAAAGTTTTTAAGGCCTAAAAAATTTCTTCAGTGACCCATCTAAGTTTAGGGGACCCAATTGTATTTCTACTTGAACAGTCTTGCAAAAGCGATTTGCTAATTCAATGATTTGCTAATTTCGAGTTTTGTAAAATTTTTTATATCTTAAGTTTTTGGCACATTAAAAAAATTAAAGAAAGAACGTCATATCTTTAAAGTTTAAAGGCTTTGAGCAGTAGTATTTGGAGGCAAGATTTGATTTTTGGAGGCAAGACAGTTTTCGCAAAAATATAATTTACGTCATACCTCGGAAGCTACAAAGATTTTCGCAGATAAATTAGGAGGCAAGATTTGCAATTCCTGAAAGTACTTAGACAGTACCCTACCATAGTTTATTTAAATCTAAGTTTTTTGAAAATTTTTCAAAAAATCACAAAAAAATTCATATCATGGAATCTTGGAAGCTAAAACGATTTAGCAGACGTATTTGGAGCCAAAATTTGTAAACTCTGAAAATGCTCTGAGAGCACCCCACCATACGATTGCCGGTTTTAAATTTTAAGAACTTTCTTAAATCTAAATTTATTGAACATTTATCATATCTCAAACGGCAATGATTTGGAGGAAACACTTTCAATTCCTGAAAAAAATCCGACATTACTCTACCATAGTATTGCTAATCTAAAATTTTCTGCAGGTTTTTTTCTAATCTAAATTTTGTGAAAATTTTTCAAAAACAGTCATATTTCGGAAGCTAAAAATGTTTGAGCAGACACATTTGGAGGCAAGACTTGCAATACTGAATGCGGTTTAAAAGCATCCCACTACAGGTTCGGAAATGTCAAGTTTTGGTGTTAGTCATTTAATTATCTAATTTGAAAATGTTCATCAGTACTTCAAAATATTCTCGCTAGAGAGCAATTTTTTAAACTTTGTGCTGGATAGAAAAGTTGAAACGTTGCGTCTTTAGTTCATTAAGAAAGACTTTCATTTAGTTTTTTTAGATTGCTATATATATATATATATATATATATATATATATATATATATATATATATATATATATGTTTATATAAACATTGGCACCGAAGGCTATATATAGGTAAAGTCAGCCAAATTTGATATTCTTAAAAACTACCATAGGGAAAAGGAATGTCTGCACCCCACCCCTCCCCTAAATCTTTCCCTGAGAAGCAGTAGCCAGGTCCCGTTCAAAACTTTTGGTCAAATCCTTTACTTATCAGCAGGGGTGGATTTTCAACAAAATTGATAAAAAAATTGACCGTTTTTGATTCGTCACTACATTTTCCCTACATTCATTTTCCTAGTTTTTCCAGGACATAAAAAAAGGAAAACTATAAGAATTGATGGTTTTCCTATTTCAGATTCGAGTGTCTATTCTCAATATGGTGGCATAATTGAAACTAGCAAGGATAGCGACACCAACAGTAACAGTTTGAGTGCAATGGTTGAAGACTTGACCCCTGGAGTGTGCTACCAGTTCAGAGTCAGTGCCCACAACCACTCTGGCATCAGTCTGCCCAGCGAAGCCTCAGATCCAGTCACCATCAGTGCCTCGTCATCAACATCCACATCCACATCAAAACAACAACAACAACAAAATCACAACAATAACAACAACCACCTAGAGACAAACGGCAAGAACAACAGTAAGTCAAAAACAAGGGGCTGGTCTTGGAAATAAATCGATGCAACCTTCGACGGAATCGATGCAACCGATGCGCCTTTTTTCTCAAGGCCAAGTTTTTTCTCAAGGCCAAGTTTTTCTCAGTGCCAAGTTTTTTCTCAAAGCCAAGTTTTTTCTCAAGGCCAAGTTTTTTCTCAAAGCCAAGTTTTTTCTCAAAGCCAAGTTTTTTCTCAAGGCCAAGTTTTTTCTCAAGGCCAAGTTTTTTCTCAAGGCCAAGTTTTTTCTCAAGGCCAAGTTCTTTCTCAAGGTCAAGTTTTTTCTCAAGGCCAAGTTTTTTCTCAAGGCCAAGTTTTTTCTCAAGGCCAAGTTTTTTCTCAAGGCCAAGTTTTTTTCTCAAAGCCAAGTTTTTTCTCAAGGCCAAGTTTTTTCTCAAGGCCAAGTTCTTTCTCAAGGTCAAGTTTTTTCTCAAGGCCAAGTTTTTTCTCAAGGCCAAGTTTTTTCTCAAGGCCAAGTTTTTTCTCAAGGCCAAGTTTTTCTCAGTGCCAAGTTTTTTCTCAAAGCCAAGTTTTTTCTCAAGGCCAAGTTTTTTCTCAAAGCCAAGTTTTTTCTCAAAGCCAAGTTTTTTCTCAAGGCCAAGTTTTTTCTCAAGGCCAAGTTTTTTCTCAAGGCCAAGTTTTTTCTCAAGGCCAAGTTCTTTCTCAAGGTCAAGTTTTTTCTCAAGGCCAAGTTTTTTCTCAAGGCCAAGTTTTTTCTCAAGGCCAAGTTTTTTTCTCAAAGCCAAGTTTTTTTCTTAAGGCCAAGTTTTTTCTCAAGGCCAAGTTTTTTCTCAAGGCCAAGTTCTTTCTCAACGTCAAGTTTTTTCTCAAGGCCAAGTTTTTTCTCAAGGCCAAGTTTTTTCTCAAGGCCAAGTTTTTTCTCAAGGCCAAGTTTTTTCTCAAGGCCAAGTTTTTTCTCAAGGTCAAGTTTTTTCTCAAGGTCAATTTTTTTCTCAAAGCCAAGTTTTTCTCAAGGTCAAGTTTTTTCTCAAAGCCAAGTTTTTCTCAAGACCAAGTTTTTTCTCAAGGCCAAGTTCTTTCTCAAGGCCAAGTTTTTTCTCAAAGCCAAGTTTTTTCTCAAAGCCATGTTTTTTCTGAAGGCCAAGTTTTTTCTCAAGGCCAAGTTTTTTCTCAAGGTCAATTTTTTTCTCAAAGCCAAGTTTTTTATCAAAACCAAGTTTTTTCTCCAAGCCAAGTTTTTTTCTTAAGGCCAATTTTTTTCTCAAGGCCAAGTTTTTTCTCAAGGCGAATTGGTACTAAAACAGACAAATTGATAGAGGGAAGCGCGCGCCAAAAAATAAATTTTAAGGGTTGTTAGTCGTTGAGTTAGGGGAAATCCTCATGCGCGGGGGACCGAATGCACAATAATTTATCAACCAATCAGAGCTCAGTGTTCAAAAATTCGAAGAAACCAGCAAAAAACAATCAGTCAGTTTTGGAAAATTTTAAGGGCGTCGATTGGTTGAGAGTTCTAGTTCTTTTGAAGCTTCGGGCATGAAGATAGCTCAAGTTGAGTCAGTAACTAGGAATGGGCAGGACCTGTTAGGTTTGGTTTGCACTAAATACCTCGTGTGCAATAATTTGTACTATAATCGGGCTTTTCTTGGAGCCACTTTTTTAAGAAAACTTTTAAGGGGGGAGGAAAAAGTGCGGATTAAGGCTCTTTTTTACTTTCCTACCTCTTTTGAATTGCAAAATACAGCTATTCAAAAATTGTTCACACGCCATTTTGCAAGATATAAAAGTTTTAATTCCGTTAATAACATGAAAAGTCACTTTAAATAGACTTTATTGAGTTTCAGAAACTATCAAGGGGGGACTGGAAAAGAGCCCGGAAATTTTCTTGAATAAAATTCATATGTGTTGTTTGTTCATTTTAGAGAAGAAAGGGGGTCGCTTGTGGGACGATGGAGCTGACAAAGTCACGTGGAGTCAGAAGTTCGACGATCACTTCACAAAAGTCGAGGAAATTGCCAAGTGAGTCTAGCCTGTAACATAAGTTATTGAAAAAATTCTTTATTTCTATGAGAAATACTTAATTTTTTAATCTAAAATTCTGACCATAAATACTTCTTTATGAAATGTTTGCATAAAGCTGAGATTTTCTAAAAGTTTTTTATTTCTAACTTAGAAATAAAGATTTTTTAAAAAAATCTCTGCTTTATGTTTTACTAATTTAAAATAGGTTTTTTTATTTAAAATTTTCCCTACGATTGCAATGATAGTGTGTGAGGACGAGCTCTCAATTGACCTCTAGCTTGAGGTCTACCACAGCCTGACCAAATTCGGCTGCAATAGTGGTACCTCGTGAAAACTCTAGACACAAAAGTAACGGCCTTTAGTCGCAAAAACTAATTCAGTCTGGAATGCGGGGAAATAATACAAACGTTCTATGCTCAGACAGCCCTGATATCCTTTCATAGATCCTCTGCGAATAGCAGAAACCTCAATTATTATGATTATTTATTGCAATAATTGTGCCAAAAACTTGATTGGCTTTTAGTTTTAAAAGTGGATTTTAATTATAAGATTTTCCAGCGCTATAAAAAAAACTATCTCTTCATCCAGTTCCTTCAATTTGGTTTTTTTTTTTCAAAAATGAGGTGAAATATCAACGTTTTTTGAAATTAAAAGAAATTCAAGATTACCATATATATTTTTTTAGAAATTGAAAACTGAAGTAGTTGTCAGTTTGCTGGAGTTCTATGATACTTTACGAACTGTCCGTCGACTATGTTTTTTTTTCGGTTCGTTGAGGTCCAGATGATACTTTTACTGACTGCCAGTTGGCTGGTTAAATATATTTTTTTCCTGATTTCATAGTTTATTTAGGAGAGTAATATTATACAGACAGGTAAACAATAAACCGCATGTACAAATCAAACCCACCAAGGATCATGCAAAAAGCTATGCAGCTTATCGAGGCATGACCCTGAAATATTTTCTCCATTTTCACTCTTGTTTTTTTGCCTGCAGAGGTCGATTCAGCACAGTTTGGAAGTGTGAGCAGAAAAAGACAGGGCGAACAGTGGCAGCCAAGATTGTGAATGGGAATATGTTGGACAAGCGGGACATCGGCCTGGAGGTCACCCTCATGAACAGTGTCCACTCCTGTGCCCCCCATCTGTTTCTGAAGGCCACACACACATATGTACACCCACAGTCTAACTCATTGGTGCTCATACTACCACTGTAAGTGATTATTGAAATATAAGAATTAAAATAAATCGTGCTATTAACAATCATAAAAAATAAGTTCTAAAAACTGATGAAAAATAAGAATTAAAATAAATGGTGTGATTAAGAATCCTAAAAAATAAGTTCTACAAACTGATGCATTTCGCATCTGTTGAAACAATTGTTTGCATTTCAAAAAACGTGCGTCTGATCTGATCGTTTTGAAACTAAATTAGTTGTCGCATCCGAGTTGGCTCAAAACGCGCATAATTTTATCTGAAATTGGGCCGAAACTCAAACCCACCGTTTTTAACAGAAAAAAATTCAAGTGAATTTTGCAAACTGTTTATCCAATTAAACTTTTTCTCATCCAACAACAAACAACACTTTATAACTTAATGAAATTTTTTACAAGCTATGAAAATGTTCTCAGAGAGTACCACTCGTTTATAGGAGTTCGAAATGACAATGAGTAATACAAGCGATATAGTACTGGGAAATAATTGCAGACCTGAACTTAATCCACTGCCATTGGAACTAAAAGACAGAAACCTAATTTACGTTTCTTAGAGCAATTTTTTGAAGAAATTTTTTGTTTTCTAATTTATGATTTTCCTACAAAATTGGAAACAGATCTTTCATTTGTGTCAATATTGACTAGTTCTACTTTTGTCAGCTTGGTTTTAAATGTCATAATAATTTGCTTCATTTTTGAATGATTTCCGTCCTTTTGGGGAAATCTTGCAATATGAGATGCGAGAGCAGCGTTGAATAGTTGTACTTCCACTAAATTTCGAAGTACTTCTTCAAGTGTAAAACGTTTGTCTACATTGGATTCTGTGAAACGATTGAATTCTTCATGGCCAACTTCATTTATTAGCAAAAATTGAGACTGCTCCTGATCTAAGGCAACCCAAGACAGGAATCGTTCACCATCTGCTCGGATGATTTGTTGAGGACAATTTAAGGCTATTTGCAGTAAATCAGCATCATCAAGGATTACATGAAGATTGTGCTGCCATTTCTTATTTAGTTTTCCAAGCTGGCGCAGGAGAAGCTCAGTCTGCAAAATGATTACTTGGCATTCCAACACAGGTTCCGTGAAACCAAGCAAGGAATCAAGTTCGCAACCACTCAGATTCCATTCTTCAATCATTCGTTCCATTCTGCATTTAATTCCGTTATTTGTCAGAATCTCGTAGTATTTCTTAAAATACTCTCCTCTACATACAATCAAAACTTTTTCTTTTGGCTCTCTGACGCATAATTCAAGAATTTTAAAAAATGTCAAAATAGTTTTACCCGACCCTGCAGGTCCTTCCAGTATTATCCTTTATCTTCGGACACTTCTAAGCCAGTGACCTTATTTGTAACAAGTGTTGCCGATAAGCCAACCATCACTAGCACTATATTTCTTTAAACAGATGCACTCAATGCCGCAATCGAATTATCGTTTCCAGAAATCTTTCGAACACAATACCACAAGTATAGTCTCTGCTTGCCCAAATCTCCTGTCGTCTTCGTCCGTTATTTTATCGTTAGGTAGGATAGCTACTTTTTTGATGCTTGTAGAAATCTTTTCCAAACCGAAACTTTTGAACAACCAAGAAAACAAAGCCACATCTGTTTTCATTTCTTTGACTGCGCTTTTCAGTCTTTTGTTTTTGTCAGATGTACTTGCTTCGTCGTCGGATTCTTTGCTTTCCACTTCACAAACTATGAAGCCGTTAATTGGATCAACCGTCACCATGTCAATTTCAATCTCTTTAGGTTTCCCTTTATCAAGGTACTTTTCTTTTTCCATAAGCTTTTCAATTTCTTCCCACGATTCTCCGCGCAACAACTCGTAATGAACAATGGACTTGACAAGCTCCCATTTTGGTGGATCTATTTTGAAGCCGTGGAACACAAACATTGGAATTTCGTTTTCTGTTGCATATTTCTGAATGGTTTTGACCAAATTATACTCGTCGATTGAAGATTTTTGACCTGTTCTGAAGTTTTTGAAGTGGTTTGGATGAATATCTGGTTTTATGTCGCCGCCTGAAGAGCCCTTGTGGAGGTTCAGGTGGAATATTTTGTGGAAGAGGGGGGACTAAATGGACACTTTTGGATAAGGGTCGTTGAAACAATGTGGAAAATGCGTCTCCATGTACCGCTCACTCATTGATTTGAAGCCGTTGATTTCCGATTCTGCTCCGCCAGGAACTATGCAATGTACAGCTGGAAGTTCTGAAGCTGCCATTGTATAAACCAATTCTCAAATCAGAATGTTAAGTGTAATTACTGTTTGACTTATTCTGTGTAAGCAAAAACAGTAACGTGACAAAAAAAAAACAATTTTGCTATACAAAGTATACTCAATGATTAAATGGTATGCTAATGAAAAATTGTTTCTACGTTTAGAATGTTTTTGTTGTTATGATTCAAATATAAAAACTGGAAATGAAAATACACGAAAACAAAACCAAAGCTAACACATGAAAAAAAACAGCGAAACAAACATTCAACGCTTAGAATGTTTTTGTGGTAATGATTCAAATATTAAATTAGGAAATGAAAACACACGATAACAAAACCAAAGCTAACACATGAAAAAAACAGCAAAACAAACATTCAACGTTTAGAATGTTTTTGTGGTAATTATTCAAATATAAAATTAGGAAATGAAAACACACGAAAACAAAACCAAAGCTAACACATGAAAAAAAACAGCGAAACAAACATTCAACGTTTAGAATGTTTTTGTGGTTGTGATTCAAATATAAAAACAGACAAGACTGCTCGTATCAGGGCGAAGCCCTGAATGTTTCGACTGCCTTTTAAGTTTTATGGAGCACTAATAACATTAAAAAATTAAATGTAATAAAACAAAATGAAAATTTTTTTTTTCTAAAATTTGATTTTTTTTTTAAAATCATCCCCCCACACGTCATAATAAGTACTAAGTGATAAATTTTGCTCCTATTAACCAATCAATTATGGCATATAAGCTTCCTTGAACCAATTTGGAACGATTTCTAAGACGGATTAAATCTCGCTTACGCGTTAATAGTGCGAAACATATCGCGCGTTAATTGTCCCAAATTGGCCAAAATGGCAATCTTTAAACCCCCATAACTTTACAAAAAATGATCACAGGTGAAATATCTTTTCAAACTTAAGCTCAAGGCAACAATACCTTTCGAATTATATTTAAAAAATTCCGTCAAAAACGGCTAGTTAAAAAGTCGAAATTTGTCTGAAGAAAAAAAAACCCCACCCCGAGCACAAATATTCCGTTACTTTCGTATTGAAAGTCGGAACAAAATGAAAACACACGAAAACAAAACCAAAGTTGAGACATGAAAACAAAACAGCGAAACAAACATTCAACGTTTAGAATGTTTTTGTGGTAAAGATTCAAATATAAAAACAGGAAATGAAAACACACGAAAACAAAACCCAAGCTAAGTCATGAAAAAAAAACAGCGAAACAAACATTCAACGCTTAGAATGTTTTTGTGATTTTGATTCTAATATAAAAACAGCAAATGAAAACACACGAAAACAAAACCAAAGCTAACACATGAAATAAACAAAACAGCAAAACAAAAATTCAACGTTTAGAATGTTTTTGTGGTTGTGATTCAAATATATAAACAGGAAACCAAAACAAACGAAAACAAAACCAAAGCTGAGACATGAAAAAAACAGCGAAACAAACATTGGCTCATGAGGCCAAGCTGTGCATACGTTCAACGCACGCATACACAATTCAAACTCAATGCACTGTTTATCTCATTCAATTTTATTGTGATTATGATTAAGATTATAATGATAATGATTATTATGCGCAAAAGCAGATATAGGGGGGGGGGGGGGGAGGGGGAGGATTCGTTTTTTGGACATCCCAAAGGGTACCGCCTTTGGTACTATTTTAAGACCTCCATTTTTGGTAGACCGACTCGGACCCGTAATTTTTTACATACTAATACTATTGGCGGCGCCAATCCATACTAACTTTTGATGGGAGAGTGCGCTTGAGGAGAGTGCGCTTGAGGGGAATGCGCGTCAAACACGTTCAGGGCGGAGGGTGTTAACTTGGTTCTAGGGTCTTTCTAGTGATTTGAAAAAGCTCGGAAAATCAATTTGGTCGACTTAAAAAAAGACGACAAAGTTTTTGAAAATTTTTGAAAATCCGCAGCCCCCCTCGAGGAAACCCTAGATCCGCCCTGATTAAGAGTATGTAAGTTTATTATGATGATTATGATTTTATTGGGAGTTTTGCTTTTATGATTATTTTATTTATTATGATTGTTATGCGTATGATTATATTCAGGGGCGGATCTAGGATTTTCTCGAGGGGGGGGGGGGGGGGGGGGGGGGATTTTCAAAAAAATTTCGACGACCTTTTTTTTATATTTTTATGATATTTTTAATATTATGATTATTATGATTGTTATATGATTATGATTATTTATTTTTTATTTTTATCCTCTTTTTTCTAGTGTGGGCGGTGGTCGCGGCAGTTGTCGTCTGCTCGAGTTCCTGGTGGAGCACTACGGGGACAACCACACATACTCGGAGGTAGTGGCCTGCTCCTTCCTCAGACAGGTGGCAGAAGCACTCCAGTATCTGCATCTAAACCACATCGCCCATCTAGATGTCAAGGTAACAAACATAGTCTCTTTCAGCCATATACTCTAGAAATATGTTTAAAAGATACAATTTAGAGTGTACCCCCCCCCCATTGGGCTTATTCGACCCTCTCCCCCCATTGGGCTTATTCGATTGCTGTACTGAATAGGTATAGTAGAGCCCGCTTAGATGAAATTTTGAAAATTTTCCAGCAATACCTGGAAGTTTTAAAAAAACTCATTTACATGGGGTCTATGAGTTTGCATTTCAGCCGGAAAATCTGCTAGTTGAAGCGACCAGTCAAAGTGCTAATGTCAAACTGATCGACTTCGGAGACGCCAGAAGACTCACAACACACACCCCCTTCTCACTCCCGCACCCTCCCCCTTGGGGGGACCATTTCAGCCCCCACCCTGCGCATCCTATTTCTCCCCCGGCTGTACCCCACTGCGTGCCGGGTACTCCTCTGGGTAGTTTTGAGTTCTGTGCCCCAGAACTGATAGACCCAGAGGGTGGAAACGGATTTCTGGTCACGTGTCAGGCCGATATGTGGTAAGCATGACTTAAGAAGCACTGAAAGCAATTAGTAGCCTGATACCCCTATCGTCGCGGTTCGACTCCCAGACAATGCTAATTTTTTGCGGTAAACAATTCAAAATAAAAAATCCTGTTTTATATTTTCTGTTTCAAAACGTGTTTTTTTTGAATTGTTTTAAAACATGTTTGATAACACTTCCTACCCGGCTTAGGTTGTTTTTCACATAAACTGTTTGTTCCGCCTTGCATCAGCATCAGTTTTATAGTGTATTTTAGCAAAATGTAGTTAGGTATAGATCGAATATGTTTGGAATAACCAAATTAGTACTCCTCAGGGTAATTTTTACAACAATCAGACACTATTTTTCATAACATACTGAAAGATATTCGTTTCGTTCTTGGAAAGTTTTTTCTTTCCAAGAATTTGACCAGTTCACCCCAGGTAAAATAACAATGATAATAATAACGGTATATATTTCATACTTTATCAAATTATTGCCATAGTTATATAAACATATTTTTGTATTGATGGAAATTGGGTCTGAATTTTTTTTTCAGTCGAGCTCCAGCTGAATCATTTATGCTCGGTCGAAGTTGAGTCGATTATTAAAATTTCATCTGGTAACTCGAAACATGGATGGTTTCGGTCGAATGCTTCGATTCGAATCACATTTTTTTTGTGTCGAATCGGTCTGATCATATTTCGACCAGCTGGATACAGGTATAAAAAAAAATAACCAAAATAAGGTATAATAATAACCATAATAAATTGTTTTCAAGTGTAATCACTACACAAACAAAAATAAAAATAAAGAATTCGTCTGCAAAAACATCACTTGAGAGATCGCCATAAACTAAGGTATGCATCTTATGGCGCTCTATCAACGAAGTGATGTTTTTGCAGAAGATTCTTTAATTCGATTTTGAATTGTGCTTCTAATTTTGCAGGAGTTTGGGCTGTGTGCTGTATGTGTTACTGACTGGGCTGAGTCCCTTCTTGGACGGGGACGACAGCAGAGAGGAGACATGTAGACACATTTTACACTCTGACTTCGCCTTGCCAGAAGAACACTTCAGCGACACCTCCCCCCATGCTAGACACCTCATCATGTCACTACTCAACAGGGTACACAGAGACACACCTCTAACAACCCCCACCCCTCTATCCCGCTTATCCCCCCTATCCTCGCCAACTCATTTTAATATTAAGTAATGGAGGGGGAATAATTTCTTGCCAAGATTGAACTTAGTCGTGTTTTTCGTTCAATTAGTCTTTTAGTTAGTCTAACCGCTTAAATTGTGGCGCATTAAAACCTGTATAATTTGTCCAGAATCAAAAGTTTTTACATTTCTAAATGAAGGCTTTCAAATAGAGGTTACAGTTGTTTTCGAGCCAACTTACATTCTTCGAAGATCACGATATCTCAAACTGATGGTCCTTAGAGCACTTTATCTTTTGGAATTTTTTCACCTCTTTTGTGTGTTGTAGGATCCCAGTTTGAGGCTGACCTCTTCCGGGTGTCTGGGCCACCCCTGGTTTGCCCACTTCTCCCCCTCCCCCTCTTCGTCCCCACCCATCCCAGTGGACAGACTGCAGAACTTCATCAACCGACGCCAACACTGTGCAGTTAGTAATTCAAAATAACTATTTGCAACTGCCCCCCCCCCCTAATGTAACCCCCCCCTTTAACCCCATTTACACATATCAACTTAAAATCAACTACCCATCAACCCATAAAAGGCTGATCTGAGGGGGGAGAGTGGAAAAAAAATTTGCGTAAGCAGCTGAATCCATTTTGAATAGGAACAGAGGAAAAAACCAAATAAAGTTCACCCTCTAATAACACCGTAACTAAGCGTAACACAAAGACAGTATTCGCCTTAAACGTTGCGAGGTGGTTTGATTTTGGAACCAAACCTCAGACACCTCCAGAAAATTAAATTTTTGCCAACATATTTTTTCGTGTATTGCTTGTCAAGTTTTATATAAACTGAGCGAAAAATGCGTTTTTGACACTTTTTGCCAAAATTTGACCATTTGATCATTGATGATCAAATTGTGTTAAAAATCCGCGTCCAAGTATAGGCTTAATAATTGATTATAAGGGATTTTAATTCATTATAATGACCAAAAATAGGGTGATTAAAAGATATATAATCGATTATAATTGTCATATTTTCCATTAGTTTTACATGTAGTTGAATTAAACATTTTTTCCCAGACTGACGTGAGACCTCTCAAGCGAGAATCGATACGACAACTTCTGCAGTCGATCACGCTCACGTGACCTCAAAATCACGTGACCATACAATCATGTGACCTCGCAATCACGTGACCTCGCAATCATGTGATCTCGCAAAAAAAAACAGGATTGGTGTGCTACGCTTTCACCAACTGTTTCGAGTTACAAAACAGATGAAATTTTGATGGACTCGCCAAGAGCTTGGGATGGGATTTCAATAGGAAAACCTCACCCAAATCTACATTTAGCCGCTGGAAGACTCCTTGAACACGTCATTGAAAAGTTATTTTATTCGGACATATTTAACACGGACAGAAAAACAATGAAAAAACTATTGTCAACCAGATTGATATTTGTTCTGTTAACCGGAAAACTTATCTCACTTATCTTTATATTCTAGACAAATTGGCATTTTATAAAAAAAAAGTTAGTGCAATAAAAATATCTGAATTTTAAAATTTCACACATTTGATTTGTTCAGAAAATGAAAATATTACAATTTTTCGTGTTCAGAAGTCGTATCGTTAAGGTTTTGGCCTTAGTTTTTAATGAAAATTGACAAAAAAAAATAAATTTGAAACGAGACTGATGGTATCAGGGCGCAGCCCAAGTTTATAATTTTCAGTTAGGGGAAAAAAAAATTGGTCTACGACTTGAAATTTAGTCTTTCGAAATCACAATTGGGTTAGAAAAAATGTGTTCTCAGGAAGGGAACAGATTCGATTAACAATTACACAACTCTGCACAATATGAAAAATCTCATCTTAAAAGAACACCAAAAATAGCTGCATTTCGAGAGTTATCTTCAAAAATTTCGGAAGCCAGATTTTGGATTGTTACTGCCAATTCCGCTTTGACCTTGGTAACTATTTTTCAACTATATCTTTGATATATTTCCAGATATTTTCCGGCGGGGAAAGAGCTTTTCAGTGTCCTTTGATTTTATTGAGGATACGGCTGGGTTGAAATCCCGGAGAATTGTTACCGAAATTGTGGTTTTTTGCTAGTTTTACCATTTATTATAAAACACTGCCAATTTTTTTTTCAAAAAGTCTTTTTTTCTGCCAGTTCTTTTTTTGTTTTTAAGTTGAGCGAAGCATCTGGAGCAGCATACAAAAAAAACTTGATGCATAACGATATATGCGAGCATGAATAATGCAATTAATGCGAGCGTGAACAATGCTTCGACCTTTGTAAAACGCAATGTGAAAACTAATTTTTGAAAAAAATAAATGCTAAGTTGTTGAAGTTTTTTTTGAATTAAATTAAAGTTTAGCCAATCGATCCGACTTTTAAACTTTCAACTAAAACTGTTTAAAAAATCAACTTATCAATTAGACCAGCTCTACATATGAACGCAAACTTATTTGTCTCAACTTTTGAGGCTTTAACTATATTGATTATGAGATGTTTTAAAAGAAATTTTGTTGTGGAAAGCGCGGCCGGTATCACAACAACTCATCGTGAATTTAAGTAAAATTTATTGCTTAACGTATTGTAATTTTGGTAAATTGGATCTATCGATCATTTTTTCCAGTAGGAATTTTGAGATATAAAATTGAAGCTTAAATTCATTCAATTTTTCTGCTCAATTGGAAGGTTTGTTAATCAAGAGCGTAATTTAATTCGAATCAAGAAAAAAAAATCAATAATCAAACCGCAAAAATTCTGATTTGAGCGTGAACAACGAACAACTTTGAAAACTTTTTTGATAAAGAAACGAGAAACTATCAACACGATCTATGTAAGTGTCTTTATTGTATTCTTTGAAACTTTCCAAAATGATTCAACCAACAAAAAAAATCTGCAAAAACTCCAGAAAGAAATCAATTAGATAGATTATATCTCAAGTAGTTAAATTCCCACCGAAAACTGCAAGGCTTTTGCAAGGGGTAGCATTGTACCGTAAAACCTTAAATCCATGAAAAGTCAAAAAATATTTTTTTTAGAATAACCAAAAACTAACTCAGAGCTTCTTCGGAACAAAAATGTCTTGTGAAGTTCAAATTTGTCTTTTGAAGTTCAAAATTGAAGAAAATTAGGTCCTGCGGCTTTTAAAATTTCAATTTCCCATGTTCTTTCAATTTGATTTTCCTCAAGTTCAAACACAAATTCATCCATCCAAAAAAGAAACAATTGAGTCAGAAAACCGAATATTTAAAACACTGTTTTGCTTTAAGTTGTTCCAAACGCAGCCAAATTCGCGGAACCTGCAAAAAAAATGCAAATTTCAGACTATATGGTGGAATCCACAAACACTCGAAAATATCTGTGTGCAATAAAATTGCGCCATCGAGGAACTCAAAGTTGGAAGCGAGAGCTGCAAAGCTGAAAATGTCAACAGAGTCGGCATTTTGTTAGCGGAATCCAGCAATATGAATAGTTACTTCTCCAAAATACCTTTTTAAATTAAATATATTTTCTTGTCAGGTTTGGTCACCGACTAGACATCTCAGTTTTGAAACAAAAAACAAGCCAAGACAAAAGAATGTGAAATTAGCAACGGAAGAAAACTTGCCAAGCGGTAACAAACTTTAGCAGAAATCCTTGAAGCCGAAAAAAAATAATTGTGACTTACGGCTTATAAAAAGTTAACAAGTCCGCTCGCCCTCAAAACACACACTCAAACACAAAGCTTACAATATGAGGCCACTAAGCCAACATAATATAGGCCGAAACCCATTAAGTGAAAAAACGACTAAAAACAAAAAAAAAGACTTACGAAAAGTTATTAAGTCCCCCAAAGCCTCAAACACACACGCACACACAATTTTTTTTCGATAATATGCAATATGAGGCCATTAAGCGGATATATTATAGTCCGATACCAATCAAACCGAAAAAAAGCGAAAAAAGTTGAAAATAATTGTTGCCAAGAAAAACTTTTAGAAATTTGAGCAATCCAGAGGTGAGCATAAAAACTACAGTTAAAGTGAAACGGCTCAAAATTAGGTCACTAAACCGATAAAAATGAAGCCGAAACAATTTGAGCAGAAAAAAAAATTAAGCGAAAAAAGTACGAAAGCAAAAAATAAGAAACAGCTGAAGTAAATCAAAACACTAAGGGCAACTTCAATGTAAATTGCGTAAAGAAAAAAACAATTATGCGAAATGACAACTAAACCGGCAAAATATAATCAGACAAACAAAAACTTAAATTCTAATTTTGACCAATTTGTGAACTAAGTTATTTACGGGATAAGAGTTTAGTATGCAATTGCAATACCCTAGCTTATTGCAAGTTTAATAAAAGAATCAAAGACACATTCATTTGGAAAAGTGTCAGCTTACAGCACAAGAAAGGCACAAAATGTGAAAACTAAGTCGACAAAACATAAGCAGACAACTTACATGACAATGACTTTTTTAATACAAAATATTTTGGGCTTTAAAAAAAACAGGTGTTGACCGGCTGTGAGCCTAGGCCCTTATCTACGAAGAAAACTGAATACTTTTCTACAAGTCATTTTACTTTTTTAGCATCACTTGAAATAGCTAGCTATTGGATAGTGTAGTTTGCTTCTTTTAATGATATAAATTTATTCAAGTTTTTTCTTTAAAAATATGAATTAAAAAATGTCGAAGTGAAAACGCTAATAAAAATGAGTGAAAATAAGATTAAAATTTTTAAAGATAAAAATTTAAACAAAATAGACAAAATCTAAATAACCCAAAAACTATTTTGTTCACTAACACTCAATAAATTCAGAAAGAAAAAGTTTTAAAGGTTCGGATACAGATCGACAAAACAAGCGATATACCAACATTGGAGAAAAGCAGCTTTTTGTTTAAAGGTAAACACGAAATTGAACTCAAAACAATTAATTTGGGCACCACGAGATTCGCACAACGGGTACCTTCGGTCAAGAGTTCCCTGATTTTTCCGTTAGAAATCACTAATGTTTGACATAAACAAAAATGATCAGAAATCAACAAAAAATAAGGAAAATTGCAACAAGCTGTTAACACAAGCGTTTCAGCATTTTTTGATGTTCGGGTTAGTTGAATCAATTTCACCCCAAATATAATGACGAAAGTCTGAACTCAAGTTACATTAATCAGGCATTGGAACAAATGCAAGAAAAAATATATTTGACTTAAGGTTAATTTTCAAAAATTGGGCAAAAACTCAGATTGAGAAAATTGCTTGTCTATTTGATTTTTTATTATTCCACTGGGAAATCCAATGAATTAAAATTCACTTTTAAACGACATGTTTTAGCTCTATTTTGCAACAAATACATTTTTCTTGTTTGAAAGAGCAATCATCTTTTAAATTTGTTTTGAAGTTGAAACTAATTCGAGAGTCACATAAAGTTTTAAAAAGCGAAAACATAACATCACAAAAAATTGTCTTAAAATAAAAAAAAGCCGGTTGCTGCGCGGAGAGCACAAAATAATCCGACAAGTATGCATAATTATCTCAGCTCAAATCCGTTGGCAGGCAATTACATAAGAAAGATATAAATTTTGTTTTTAATGTTCATAAATCTGTTAATAAAAAAGTTTATGAACACTTGAAACAAGAACGGTAGATTGCTGTGCAAGCAGCACAGAATTTCCCAACCACGGTCATAAATAATTTAATCAACTTTTTCTTCAAACTAGTGTACTTTTTGTGCAAGGAGAGAACTATACAAACGTGTGAAAAACTAGAGAATTAGGAAAAATCAATAACAGCTTTCTACAAAAAAATGAATACCAAACAAAAAATTGAAAAAAAAAATCAATATTTCTTTGCATAGGAATTTGAAAGTCTTTTCAGAAACATTTTGCCTAGAAAGAGCTACTTGAAGCTCTTAAAACTTGTTAGTAAAAACTCTTTCTAGTTAGTAACACCTAGTTTTCTAGCCTATATTTTTAAGAGTAAACGCTATTTGATCGCTTAATCATTCGATATGACCTAAACTCAAAAATTGACTTGAACTCAAAAACTTTGAACCATTTTTATCGACACTCGGCCGAATTATTGAAATATTTTCACGTCACTCAAGTCACGGCTTAATGAGCATTAGTATTATATGTCACTCGGCCCATTCCGATGGTTATTTGTTGTAATAGAGACAAAAAAACTTATTTTTTTTCAAAAACTTGTATTTTCGAACTTCTCATTAAAAAATATACTGCTTTAACCCTATTTGCAGTACAAGTCGACATAAGCATTGATTTTTTTTTGTAAAGGGAAAAAATATTTATTGATTTATTTTTGAAAAAACTTAAATTTTCGAATTTCACAGATAAAAATATATGGCCTTAACCCTATTTGCAATACAAGACCAAATAAGCGTCCATTTTTTTCAAACAATTTGGTAATTTTCCAAGAAAAAATCATGACCCCAAGTCTCTTCGAATTTCGAGAGCAATTTATGATTATTTTGACTAAATTAAGCCATGTTGAGAAAATTGCATCAATGGGTAAAATTTTTGTTTCACTGAAATCTGAAAATTAACTTCCACTTTCGAAACTAGAAGTAGATCACATTTTTTATTACCTTAACATTTTTGCAGTTCGATAGTGGAGTTTGCCTCTTTTAACAAAAAATGAACTAACTTAAAAAGAAATTAAAATTCAAAAAAAATTTAGCCTGAACAAACTGACATCAATAAAAAATCACGACCAAACATCAAAAAACAAAGATAAAAACGGAAAAAATATATATAAGAGATTTAGATGTCCTTCCAGTCGGTTCTTGACGAGGACAAAAATTGTTGCGCGAAATGTTCCTTGACAGGCATTCCAGAGGGTAAAAGCCTGAATTTATTAAACATTCATTGACTCTAAAAAATCCCTTGATTTATACCAGGTAGTTTTTGCCGAAAACATTCATTCTAAATCGTTTAGCTGAAGATTATAGACTAGGCTCATCCTACGAAAAATAGAAAAAAAGTTAAACAGAACTTTAATTTAAATAAAATAACTAAATTACAATTTTTACTTAAATTTCTAGTATCATTAGTCCAATTATTCCATTAAACAGTAGCATTCGCAAGTCCATTTAAACACAGACTTCGCTTCAGTAACCAAAACATTGATAATTCAAAATGCCAATTACTCACATAAACTGATTGTAAAAGTGCCGCAGCTAGCAGCGTATATTAGATATGTAAAATGAGTGCATCTTATCATAATGATGGATGCGCGTTGAACTTTGAACAGAATAAACTTAATGGAAACAGACGCAGACGCGGTTGACAATTTTTCGTTACTTCACCGCTGGAATGAATTGATTCAAATTGAATGGATCTGACACTGGGATAGCACTTGGCAATAATGGACATTAATCTTTCCAAAAAACACCGAATTTATATTTAACTTTTTCTATTTTAATTCATGGCTCGTTAGGTCCATAAATATAACAATAGTGACTGGTGCGTTAAAACAAGTAGGCACTTTTCAAACTTGAGAGCTAGATTGGTCAAATTTAGGTTAAGGTTTTATAATTAGATAGCACGATATCACTTGAAGCACTGAATTATTAAGGGTGTATTCAGAAATTAAATTTCAATTCATAGCAGTTTGGGTGAAGGGTGCGTTGATTCTTTGATATTCAGACGTGAAAAAGAGTTGTGTGTGTGTGTTAGACGCATGACAATTGGGATTAGACTGAAAAAAAAACGACTGATGATAGCAGGATTCTGATTCTACAAGAGGTCTTTACAGATGACTAGAGACCACCTGGAGTTCAGGAGGACAAAAGAGGAGCAGGTAGGAGGAGAAAAGGTCAAAGGTCACAGCAGGTCAAAGGACAAAGAAAGGTCAAGGAAGGACAGGAAAACATAAAACAGGATAAATCGGTCAAAATTTGTGACATCATCACCATCATCGACTTCAATACGTACGGCACTGCGCAAACTACTTTCTTAAACATCATACATAATTTAACTTGAAATAGATGTTAGTAATTATAGTTAATCGGAAGCGTTGAGCACCAGCTGAACTTAAATTAGATGAAAATTAAAGAACTTTTTGCAATGAACGATTTACTCAACCAAAACAACTCATGTTCATTGAAAATCTGAACCACATCTGAATCAGGATATGATTGAAATCAAATTTATGACTGAATACCATCTGTTTTGGTTAAGGCAATAGACACGAGTTTCGATTTGTAATTGTAATGACAATGATGAATTTCATAATTTGGCTGAGCACAGGTCCCTATAATAAAGAAGTTTCATGGAAGTTTGATTCGATTACATCTAAATGGGTATAAGCTAACTTCCCTAAGCCTGCTCTTTTTGATCGCTCCAACGAGAAGATTTGAGTTTTTGATCAATGATAACAAATGTTTGCGCCGACGTTGGGTAAATTTCTCTATTTCAAAATAATTTTCCGGTGTTTAAATAGTTTTTGCGTTGTTTTCCATCCAGAATGAAATAATTCAATTTAATCTGCAATGAATGCAGTTGAGTTTGCCTCTAAAAGTGGTGTAACTTCTCAGCCCATGTGTTGCATGTTCATTGCGTCCCCAGCCCCTCCCGCGGACTCGATTGAAGGCCCGTGCTGGTTTTGGTGCTGCTGTGAAGCGCTGTTTGCACCCATTCCCATCTGGGTCTTGCTGAAGGATACTCGCAGGTGATGGTTCTCTCCTAACTGGTAGTTGTGTGTCTCCTAAAACATATCATATCAATTAACCATTTCAAACTAAAATATTTCGAGCAAATATTGTGAAAGTACTCAGTAGTTGTGCTGGGCTTCAATCCGCAATATTTTTTTCTGGTTAAAACCGTTTGCACAGAGGCGAAGCCAAGCTTCGAATCTCTTGCGATACAACAAAAACGGTAAAAACATAGGAATTCGAAAAAATGAAACATAGCCAACTGACAGTTGGAAAAGTGTAATGAACGCAAGTAAACTGAAAAAAAATCCGACTTGTGTTTTCAAAAATCTTCAACTTTAGAATTCGTGGAACAATTTCTGATGGACACTTTTTTTGTTAAAATTAACCCAATTTGAGAAAACAGGATCAAGAGGCAAAACTATTGTTTCGCTGGTAAATCTGATAAGTAATTTTTATTTCGAAATTAGAAGTCGATCACGTTTTTGTGACCTTTACAATTTTGCTGTTCGATAGTAGAGTTTGCCTTCTTTTTAACAATAGAAATGCCTTGAACTTAAAAAGAAATCGCAAGTCAAACAGCGAAAAATCAAAATTGAGCGTGAACTTTTTCTAGAACGATTTATGACTGGGGTTTTTTGATACCATTAGCCCAACTTGAGAAAACTGGATTAACAAAAAAAGTTTTTATTGTTAAAATTCTAAAAAATAAATTCCACTTTCGAAACTAGAAATCGTTCATGTTTTTTCGCGCGATTTCCACGCTCGTATTTGGAGAATGCTATTTACGTAACTTTCAGCAGATGAATTTAAATTGAACTCAAAAAGTGCATATATATCTAAGTGCATTCATAAATGCTTCAATATGTATGAACGCACATCTATTGTTATGAGAGACTTTTATGCACATTTTAAGACTTTATCCTGAAAAAAAAATAAAAGAAAATCAGCAAGACCTATATAAGAGTCTTCACTACGCTCATTACTCTCATAAAAACTGACGTGTTTTTTTTTCATATCTTTCGCACTTCAAAGGAAAAATTAATATCCTAGGAGCTCTTCGAAGTTCTAGAAAAATGAATGGACATTTTCTTGATAAAATTCAACCAATTTGATAAAACTGGATGAACTGACAAACTTTAATTTTCGCTAAGAAATCTAAAAAGCTAAACTCAACTTTCCAAACTAGAAGTCGATTATGTTTTTCTTGAACTTTACACTTTTGTTATTCGATAGTGAAGTTTAAAGTTTGCTTTCCTTTTAACTAAGGAAATGAACTGAACTTAAAAAGAAATCAAGTCAAACCCGGAAAAAGTAAATTTAAGCCTCAACAAATTTGAAGACTTTTCCTGGAACAAAAACCATCACGACCTATATATGAGTCTGAACTACGTTCATCGACTCGACTCTTAATTAGCAACGATACAGAACTTACTAAGAAAAAAAACAGACAACCTTTTAATAGTTTAAATGAAACTGCATTCAACTCTTTCACTTGCAACTAAAATGAACATTTCTTAGAGCATATGCATAATTCGTGATGTGGCTAATCAGCCGATAAAACTTTAGCAAACAAATTAAAGTCCGACCATTCAAATTTTACCTGAAAAAATTCAATTGCACACATACTGTAAAACAACCAAGTCCGGCCGTGACTCGAACCCACTGATCTTAGAGTGCAAAGGCGATGGCTTTACCTCTGGACCAATTGAAAATTTTGAACACAACCCTCCCCCCCCCCCCCCCACACCCTTGTCCATAAACTGTCCAACCCTTTGGTAATTTTCAACCCCCGCGAATTAAGCACTGCGTGGTCTGAACATTTAGATGGCACAGTAGCTATCTATTGTATTCTGTTTTTGCTGATCAGATTTTCTCATCACGCAAACTTTACTTACAATTAAAGCCATTATAGCTTCCTCGCGACTCCTACACTGTACCAAGGCCATCTTGTGATCATTTCTGAAACAAAACAAAAATTAATTCCTTAAATTTTCTAAACTAAAATATTGACAATTATCAGCTCTTTGAAAAGTCAACAGATATGAAACAAAAAAAAGATAGAATTCTCTTCTCACCCTTCTTCTTCGTCCCTGGTACAAATACATTTAATTGAAGTAAACACAATTTTGAACAGTATTACACAGAGGCGAAGCGGAGCACATTGCAAGGGCGATGACACAGAGTCGAAACGCACTGCAAGGATTCAACCCAAGCAAAGCGTTACCTATACGCATCATACCAGAATTGACGCCATGATTTTGATTTAATATGAGCCAAGGATGAAAAATTTCAATTGATTCTGTTCAACTAGTTGTCAACCCGAAAAAGACTATATTCCGATTTGATAACGCTTGCTAATCTCAAGCCTAAAAAAGAAACTTTGAAATAAGGGCCGAGGAAAAAGAGTAATGTTTACATCCATACTGGCCCCAAACTGGTATCATAGTACAACCGAATTCATTATGTTTTGGCTATCAAAAAACCAAAACAAAGCCAACATGCAGTTTCAAAAAAAACAGCAAATAGACAGTTGGAAAAAAGTCAATGAACGCAAGTTAACAGAAAAAAAACTGATTTATCTTTGAAAAAAACTTGAAGTTTCGAATGAAGCTCTATACTGACACTTTTTTTGATTAATGTAACCCAATTTGAGCAAACTGGATCAATAGGTAAAGTTTTTGTTTCACTGGGAAATTCGATAACCTTTGCGCTAATCTTTTTCAGATAACCTTTTTTAGTGACCTTTGCGCTTTCACTATTCGTTAGTGGAGTTTGCCTTACTTTGAACAAAGGAAATGAACTGAGCTGAAAAAGAGATCAACAGTCAAACAGCGAAAAAGTAATATTGAGCTTAAAATAAGTTAAGACTTTTCCTGAAAATCATCGCGACCTAAATAATCACTGCGTTCATCCACTCTTAAAAAACGATTTTTTTTCGAAACAATTTTTGAAGAAAAATTGCAAATAAATTGAGTTTCAAAGAAAAAATCTTAAAACTCTTTGCTTGAGAATATTTTGTGTTTGAACTTGTTTGATAAAACTAACCCAATGTGAAAAAACTGAATCAATTGGTAAATTTTCTATTCCGCTGAGAATTCTTAAATATGAAATTCACTCTGTAGGCTATAAGTTATTCGCGTTTTTGTGCTCCATTCGAGCCTTTCTGGCCCGAGAGCCTAATTTGCCATCTGATTAGAAATTGAACTAGAATTAAAAGAAACCAAAAGTGAAATAAACAAAAAATGAACTTGAATTGAAGAAACCAAAAATCATACAAAAAACTTGGAAACCAAAAATCACACCCAAGAAACCAAAAATCACACACAGAAAATTTGATCTGGAAAAAAACTTTCACGAAACGAAAAAAACAATACGCCTTACATTTAGCGACTCTGCGTCAAGAAAAACTTTTTTCTTTTCAGACTTAAATATAGCGAAGATCGTATGAAGTTGAGTCTTCATTTACAGGGCGTCAATTATGATGTTTCACTATTTGCTAATTAAAACATAAATTGTGACCAGCAGCGGTATGAGATTCAGCTTCGGTTAAATCTGATATCACCTTTAAGCTCATTAACCAAATTTTCGACATCAAAAACCTTTCATTTTGGCTCAGACAGAAACTTACGGGAAAAATTTGAAGGACATGACCTCTATGTTCTTCTTGTTGAATGCTTCCAGCACCTGTTCCTCAGTAACTCCTGGTCTGAAACAAAACAATATCAAAGGTTTACCACAGCTTATCCAATCAAAAAGTTTCAGAAGTCAAAGAGCAGATATAATACATTTAGTCACCCAAGTATTGAATAACTCTTTTTCCATTAACAAACTTGTTAAGAACTTACGCGATGTTTGAAAGATGGAGAGTGGCTGAAGGCGGGAATATGTTCTGGAAGTTTTTTGAGCCCTGTTTGCGGAAACGGTGCAGGGGCGAATTGGAGTAGTCTTTGGTGAGTCCGGCATCTTGCTGGCCCTCTTTCGGCAGCTGGACTACTTGGTGCTTAGACATGGAAACACGCATCTCACGTCCATATACTTTCACGTCGTGCAAGTTGTCCATCGCTACACAAACCCATATTATTGTCCTCATTTACAATAGAATCAGCTATTAATTCAGATAATTAACGTTTAAAAATGTTAGTTTAAACAAGGCAACTAACAGTTGGAAAAGAGTAATGAACGCAAGGAAATTGAAAAAAAAAAACAGTTGTTTTTACAAGAGCCTTCAACTTTTGAGTTTCGAAGAAAAAAATAGGCCTTAAAGCTCTTCGAATTTGTAGAACAATTTCTGATGGACACTTTTTTGCTACAATTACCCCAATTTGAGAAAACTGGATCAATAGGTAAAACTTTTATTTCACTGGAAAATCAGGTAATTAATTTCCATTTTCGAAATCAGAAGTCGATCACAATTTTCGTGACCTGTACACTTTTGCTGTTCGATAGTGGAGTTTGACTTCCTTTTAACAAAAAATGATCTGAACTTAAAAAGAAATCTAAAGTCAAACCGCGAAAAATCAAATTGAGCGAGAACAAATTTCGACTTTTTCCTGAAATTCAGTAAGACCTATATAAGAGTACTCACTACGTTCATTATTCATATAAACTTGTCTTAACTTCATTAATTGGCACAATAAAATGAGCTATATCAAGTTTATAAAAATAATTCGTAATTTGTTACCTAGCTTCGCCTGCTCTTCATTGGACATTTGTATAAGTGCACTATCTTGCTTATTGAACAGTATCTTCACACGTTGCACATCCCCATACACTCCTGAAGAACACATCACAGATGAACATCGTTATCAATTACCACTAAAAGGCAGCAGAAATAGTACCAGACGAAAGTTTGGCAGATAGTTTACTAAACTACAGATGGCTTCCAGGAAATAACTGGGACCAAGTTAACATCCTCCCCCCTAAACACGTTTAGGGGGAGGATGTTAACTTGGTTCTAAGTTGGGAATTTTCAGCCAATCAGAATCGAGCATTTTACATTTAATTTAATTTAAGCGCTGGGGTGGAGAGGATCTTAACTTGGTCCATTTGGGGGGGGGGGGGGGGGGGGGGATGTTAACTTGATCCAATAACTGATTACGATATGAATCCAACCATCTGACTTTTAAGAAAAGCTTGCTTATATAACTGATGAGGAAATATTCAGCCTTGCTTTAGTTTCAGGGAACCATTTTTCTAACTTGTATCAGCAGTACCGCCAAGCATGCAATTCATTCGGTGCGACGCAGGTTCGTACTCAACATAAGGGATCGCATACAGTCGTTATAATGATCCAAAGGCCATATGGAATTAAATTTTCAGTTTGATCATACCCAGGGGCGGATTTAGGGGGACTTCATTTCAGGAATTTGACTCCCAATTCCCATTTTGGCATTATTTTATGACATCCATTTTTGATGGCCGAACCCTAATTTTTCTAAAGACGCTTTTCGCGCGTATATATGCTTATTTTAAAGAGATTTTAACTGTTTTAGGAGAGCTCGATTATTCAATTTGCGCGAAAAAAAATTGCAAAATTTTAGATATTTTCCCTAAAATTCTCTCCCACTAAGTATCCAAAAAATATTAGATTGGCCCCCTGATTATATCATTTATATTGATGATTCAACCCTATAATATCCAACTACCTCTCACCGATTGACGGGATCTCAAAACAATTAGCTAATTAGTGGCCACTTTGCATGCGATACAACATATTTGATAATTTCGCCCATATTTCTGCCTTACACGCATGCATATTCTCTCATAACAGCAAGAATATTAATATTAGTGTGGTGATTATTCGCACAACCCTGGGTTCACAGCCGACCACATGCATTAAATCAAGAATCACGAAAGTTAGATTAAACAGATCTCTTTTTAACAATCCCCCCCCCCCCTATTGCAAAACGGGTATGAGCCGAGTAAAGATCCCGTTACAAGTTTTAAGTTTTCATGTGATAGCTACCTTAAAAAAAATCAATACACCAACCGGCGTATTGATTTTTTTTACCGGTGGTGCTTCGGTATTATGAAAACAGGAGTTGGGGGGTTGCAAAAGAGATCTGATTATATTGGTTGCAGTCATCGGTTAGCAGCACAGAAGAACAGATATCATGCAATAAGGAATGGAAAGGAAATGAAACGTACCGAAGAGAGTAAATAGACCATCGCATGTGACTTTCTAAAGAAATGTGAGCAAAGTTGAAAATTACACAGAAAAGATTTACAGCGTCAAAGAAAAATAAACGTCTTTAGAGGAGGCAAGAAAAAAAGTAGTATAGCCTTCCGTATCCATGTATGTGCTAAACACTTGTTTGTAAAATCAGATAGATTGTTAAAGCAAACAAAACAACATTGATGGAAAACTCATTGATGGAGGAGGATGTTTTGGGAATGAAAACCTGGTAGTCAGGTGAAAATTAAGGAAAAAATAAACTGAGTGAGGAAAGAAGACTCACCACTGTGTCGAGATTCCCAACAAGCAATACACAGTTGGAATTGGCCGGGGACGCCCCCATCACCATTCCCGCGGGGGTCATTCCCATTGGGAGAGTCAGGGCGGGGGGCAATTGGTTTGCTCTGAGCTGGTTGATCAAATTTGTCGTCGAGTTTCCAGCCGGCAGACCATTTTGCGCTGAAACAATAAAATTTCTGAAAATTGGAAATTTTAAAGGTAGAAGTAGTATGAAAACGTCGAAGTAGAAAGAAACACGTAAAGAAACATTGAGATATTAATTTACACTCACGGAAAACCAGAATATTCATGGGCTCATAATATGCGGACGGTTGAACTAAATAGACGCATTACTTATATGTTAAAAAAAATTTTTAACTGAATAGAGCACAATTTTTTAAGACCATTGGAAAAAACATTAAGATCATTGAAGAGTTTCAATGAAACACAAAAGTTGAGTCAATCATTCAAATAAAACACAAAACTGTTTCTTGATTGTAACAGCAACGTACGTGTAAGCTGGCTGAAGGCGGCTGGATTGATCGAGTATTGGGAGCCCAATGCGGCTGGATTTATTCCAAACTGATTCAGAAGTCCTTGTTGAGCAGCTAAAACAAAATGTTAAATAATTCTTGTAAACAACTTGAGATCGAAAGAAGTTCTTTTTCACATGATGAATAGTTAAAACATCTTTACCTAGCGCCAGTGTAGTCTGATCCATTGGGTTCGCCATCACAGGTGTTGTGTTTTCTCCAGTCGGCAGATCTGGTCTAGTATAATCACGGCTCTTCTCGTTATTATATTTCACATTCAGATTCGTGAGTTTCGAGTACTCTACTTTGAGAGGACAACACCCGTAGTACAGATTCTGTCCGTCGTAATTCTCCTTTGCTGTCTGGGCTGACCTGGGCTCGTTGTACTGGATTAGTGCCTGGAACTGTTGTGGGTATCCAGGTTTCGCAAAGGTGATGATTTTCAACACCTGGCCAGTTCTGCTGAACAACTGAAACCAAATACCATTTGAATTTATTATCGTATAATTTGATAAAGTGTTCTCTGATGTTAATATTTTTACATATCGCTCAAGATAACAGCACTTTCCAACAAAATTGGTGATAAGCTCCATTTATTGAAGTAAGATAGCTGGCGGTCCATATAATACTCAGAAATTCTTTGAAATTAACCAACACCACGACATCCTTAATTTTCCAGTGGCTGTCTGATTGGAAACCACGGTTGGGTGAAATTTCAACCTTCGTTTTTCCTCGACTGGGAACCAGAAGAACTGCTAGGCTAACATTTCTATTTTAGAGCCCAACTGAATTTAGAGCACGAGGGCGAAGGGGATCTCCGTACCACTAGCGATTCAAAAAAAGCCAGCGCTCAGGCAGAAAAAAATGTCAATCAGGAAAACTGCGACTTCCTACATACATTTACGTTTTTCAAGATTAAGTAAAACTCGTGCATTTTAAAAAACCTTATAAATCATAAAAGCAAATCTGCCAATGTGACAAATTCAACCTAGTCGAAGTACTCATTTGTGAGAAGGAAAATCTGGATTTTTTTTTCAAAATAATTTAATCAGATAATATAGAAAATCAGATAGATCAAAATATGAAACCCTATCCATAGCTGCCTTGCGTCTAAAAAAATTGAAAAATCAAAATGCAATTCCGAAAAAATTGCTCTGATACCGTAGATGAAAAAAGCTAATATTTAAGAAGGAAACTCGATTTCCTGCAGCCATAATGAAGATATCAATAGAAACCGAACGTATTAAAGGTTGCTAGTATTACAAAGAATGCCAGAACGCTTCAAACACACTAGTTTTAATGACAAAAATGAAAATGAATTTGATAGCGAAAAAAAAAACATTCAAAATTTGCAATGTTTTTCTATCTTTTTTTTTGTTTTTCTTGTTTCAGAGCGATTGAAGAAGATAATACAGCAAGAACAAATATTAAAAATTAAACTTAGAGGCGAATCAGAGCTTTGCGTCACTTGCGATACAATAAAAATAGCATGGCAGCCTAAAAATAGGATGAAATCCTGAGTTCGAAGAAAAAATACAACTAACAAAAAAATTGAGCTAATAATTAAGATTATAAGAAATTGCGTACTTAAGAGCCTACTTAAGAAATTGCCTACTTAAGAGGGCCAATTTGATATAATTTGGTTAGCAATTGAGCTCGTAATTTTGCCGGTAGTCATTTTTGATTGACTGGATAAAATAAAGAAATTTTGGACCCGAATTGAACTGCTATTGAATTCAGCTAAAACCTAGGCATTTTTTGTCTTTTCACATTTTTAATTTTAAGTTTTGTTAGTTGTATCCGGATAATTAAAATCACCACTGTCAGCCGACAAAAAACAAACAATAGCCTTACAATTAATTTTGAAGCAGCAGAGTTTTAGTTTGTAAAAATTACAAGAATTGAAATCCGGACCACTATGTTGATGAAGTTAACTGAGGAGTCCACCAAGAAAATCCTGTGAACAAACTTTTTTCTGGAAAGAGTCCAGTGTCTGATTACAAAAGCCTTGTTAATCGCAAAGGTAAACACAGCCAACTGACAGTTGGAAAATAGTAATCAACGCAAGAAAACAGGAAAAAAACTGACCTGTTTTTTGAAAAAAACTTCAACTTACGAATTTTGAAGAAAAAATATACTCCTTTAAAGCTCTTAGAATTTCACGAACAATTCATGATTGGTACTTCTTGATAAAATTAACTCAATTTGAAAAAAACTGGACCAATAGGTAAAGTTTTTATTTCGCTGGAAAATCTGATAATTAAATTCCGTTTTCGAAATTAGAAGTCGATTTAGTTTTTATTGACTTTTACATTTTTGCTGTTTGATAAAGGAGTTTGCCTTCTTTTTAAAACAAAGAAAAATCAAAATTGAGCGTGAACAAAAGTGAGCGTGAAATTGAGCGTGAACTCACTTCATTCATTTATGGTGAAATCACTTACATGGTGCAGTACTTCCAGGTTGACCTGACTGTAGATATTAGTGTTCTCGCCCATCTCTACAATCACCCGCAGCACTGTCCTCTCATCGCCAACTGGTCCTCCTCCGCCGCCATAGTGCATGGAGGCACCTGTGTCTGGACTTCCTCCGCCTCTACCGGAACTCTGCAAACAGCAGATTCAATCAACCACCATTGACTTTCATTATATCATTTGAAAAGCAATTTTTTACGAAGAACGAAAAATTAATTCCCTCAAAGAAAAAGACGACTCATTGAGATGGTGATATCTCACAAAAAAATCATTTAACTAAATGAAGACTCAATGAATAAACCTGAAAACTATAGCTTATCAATCTACGTTACTATGTTTGAGGAAACAAATTGAGACTAACCATATAATGACCGCTGTTGTTCGTGTTTGAAACTTGCTTCATATCCTTAGCCGATCCAAAGGAGACCGAGAGCTGGTTTCCCCTGTGAATTGGAGGCGATGATCTGCAACGGGACACCATCTGGACAGCCATGTGTTCCTCTTCAAACGCCAGATACCCCTGTCGCTTCATATCTTCAACATGAGCCGCACTGATTTTTCCATCCTTAATTCCCAGTCCAATTATTTCCTGTTGAGTTGTTCCTTCCGGGAGGTTGCTGATGGTCACGTATCTAGATGGAGGCAAACAGCCTCCAAGATTTCCCAATTGTTGTTGTTGCTGATGTTGGACTCCTGGTCCATGATAATTTTGATTCGGCTGACCTCCTTGGATTCCTGGGCCGCCTGTGAATGTGTCCAGTTTCACCTGAAAATCACCACCCAATCAACATCCCAATTAACGAAACATTCTGTTTTGATTGAAATTGGGAATCAAGCATAAACATACCTTCTTGGCGTCGTTTCCTGCAAACTGCGACACTAAAACATCAAACTCAGATCTAGCTTTAAGGTCAGGGCGAAATCAAGAACCGTACCAACACTTAAAAAATGTTGAGTTAACAGAAAGAATCATCGAAATTCAGATAAATGAGGATTTGAAAAGAAAAAGTTGTGAATAATGATTGTACAATAACAGCGCAATGATGACATAGATAGAAGTTAGTCCTACCTTGCTGAAACATGTTCATATTAGCAGCCGAGATTCCACCGTAGCCGGGCAGGGACCCGGGCCCGCCCGCGCCGGCTGCTCCCAGGGCTGCCAGCTGACTGGCTAGGTGGGGATGCATCATTTGCTGTGCGTTAGGCTGGGAGCCCTGGGCAACGTTTTGGGCGGAGGCGTAGTGGCCGGCCGCGGTTGCCGGAGCACTGGCGACTGCAGCCGGCGTCGGGGTGAACAGGTCTGCATCGGAACCACGCTAGAGGGAAAGAGAAAAGAGAGTGAGATTCACGTGACAGGAAATAAGAGGATAGAACACGGAGGCCAATTCCCAAGTTGAAAGAATTTCAGAATATCGCAACCCAACACTTGAACAAATATATAAGCGTATTGATACTCATTGTTTGCAATCTAGCTTCTCCAAAATTCAATAAAGCTCGACTTCGTTGACATGATATTCGAAATTCATTCAAAAATGGCCCCCAGAAATAAGAAATACAAGACAGGTCGAGTACAGATTTGGGTTTGGATCATAAGAACAAACAGAACCAACGCAAGAACGCGGAGCAGATAAAAAGCAAAGATCAGAAATTTTTAAGTCCAGAAAGTTTGGCAGCAGAAGAAATATCAAAACATCAACAAATCTTTTGGCAGGTTCTCAAACCGAGAAGCTTACATTGCCACTAAATTGAAATTAGCACCTCAATATCACTTCCTTATAGACCTAATAATTATATATAAAGAAAAAAAAACGAGCATACCAACCTTCATTTAAAGCGCTGATAATTTTGCCGAAATAAAGCTATAAATGGAAATTAAGAGGCGCCAAATTTTTGGCTATTGATTTCTGACTGAATGATAAAAAGTAATCCAGTTGAATGGAATAACAATATATGAGGATAGTGTTTTTTATAGTTTCGTTCGTTTGTGCAAAAATAATAGTTTGTTTTGAGTTATTATTTTTTGCAAGGAAGGAATGGTTTAATGATTCCAACAGAGCATTGATGTTGTTTGTTCCTAGTGAAAAAGTTACAACTGAATTGTCAAGCGCGGTCGCAGATGGAGCTTAGAAACTTATCACGCACCCACAGATGTTAAAACAAGTCAATGCAATGCGCACTCATTCATACACTTTTCAACCAAATCTAAACACGTAATTTTTATTTTTACTTTTGTTCATAACACCAGCAAGACATTGCAGCCAAAAATTAACTAGAGATTTGTATATCAAGTATAAATGAGCTCTTTTATGTTTTTGTCAAGACTAAACTCGAATCGGTATTTGACGCATTTGGTTAGGCACTTTTTTAATTACCGCGCCAAAGAAAACAAGAATAAACCAAACGAAAAATCAGAAGGCACTACAGGTAAATACTGCTAGACTTAGACAATAATTTTTGTTCTAGTCGAAACTTAAAAGGCGAGCTATTTAAGTGCTGTGGTAAAAAAAAAACTAGATTAAAGAAGCTGAAGTATTGAATGGCGTTATGAATAATTCAGAGAACAGAATTGAAGAGTGTTCTTATTTTTCATCAGCTGAGCTGGATCCCAATCTTATCCCAATAAACAGTTGCATTGAAGAGTACCAGCGAGCTATACTGGATAGAGTAAATACAAACAACCAAAGTGGGAGCTAATAGCGGAAAAAGACTTGGCACAAAAGTAGAAGGGAAAATAAAAAAGAGAAAGAAAGAAAGAAAGAAGCCGGTACTAGCTTGACTGCCTGCCTGCCTAGCCTTGCCTAACTACTGGCTGACGTCGCCGTGGCCTCGCATCACCAAACAACTCTACTGCAGAAGTGAACTGTGAAAAATAATAATTGTGCGCGCCACTCATTCATATTCTTGCCTCATATTTATTATTCCATTTCTGGAGTCACAACTAACAGTTTTGATCCTTGCTGTACTGTACAAAAATAGCAAAAGACAGAAAAAAGATGCATAAGACACAACAACAAACATAGTATCGCAGCTCAACTCTGGTGATAAATAGACTTGGAAAATACACAAAAGAGCGAAATTATGAAGTATGGACATTAGAGGCGGAAGGCTGGAGAGGAATATGAATTATTAAAATTTTAATAAATTTTCAATTTCAGTCAACAATAGAGGCCGGATTAGAAATGAAACGGGGAAAGGGGGAAACCAGCAGAAAATAAAAAAGAAAAACAAACAAACAACCGGACTATCGATCATCCGTCTAGCAACCGAGTATATTCCACTAAATCTTCTACTTTTTGTTTTGTTCCACATTACTCAATCAACTACAAGAAAGGATTTCCGACGGCACGATTGTTCGAAGAACGGAACCTTTGAGCAAGACTTAATTAATAATGGCTTAAGACGCAGGTGTACACGGCCAAATTAGATAGCAATCATTACACATATAAACAGCACCTAGCACAGTACGATTAATCATACTGAGGCTAAATGCGCAATTTTGCTGGCATTACAAACAAACAGTAAATACCAAATGTGACGAAAAAAGTAAGCCTCACATGATGTACACTCTAACAGCAGCGAAGGGCGGTAATTTTCACGGTAATTTTCAAGGAAAAGAAAAAAGAATCTCGATTCATTGTTTTTCGATACCAAAATACTTCATGTTTTTGAAAATATCCTCTTAATACCGACGAAAAAACCCAAAATCGTTCGGAAAACTACCTACGATAGAAAATTCAAACGATCCAAATCGCAAAAGGAGAAAGGCGGAATCATGTTTTTTTTCTATCGGAAAAATAGCCAACAGCCCATGAGACTAAATTTCGAGACAGGCAAGGTCAAAACAAAGCCAGCAGACAGTTGCAATAAAGTCAATGAACTCAAAGCAACTGAAAAAATTGAATTACTTTTCAAACAAACTCTTAAGTTTTCGAATTTCGGAGAAAAATATATAATTTCAAAGACTGGCACTTTATCTAAGAACCAACCCATATAGAGAAAACTGGATCATAGACATTTTTTATTCCATTAGAAACTCTGAAAAAAAATCACTATCAAAACTTGAGGCCAATCACAAATTCGAAGATCGTTTCTTGTCTTCCTTTCAGAAAATGAATTTAAACTGAAACTTAAATACAGACACAAAAGAAAATTATGGAAAGGTAAAAATTAGAACAAGAAAGTTTCGACCGGAATCGAACCCCCAATATTCAGAGTAAGAGTATCAATTTATCGCATCTGCACCATTTTCTCTTGACAATCGTTAAACACTAGCGATCAATATAGCGGATACAAAAGATAATATTAATTATCAGCGCTATGCCAGCAAAGACCCAGTAAATGAGCACTTTCATTTGCGAGTTGGGTTAAAAAAGTGAAATCGTAATATGCTAGATCACTTGAGTAAAGAATCCAAATCGCGAGACCAAATTTTAAGGTTTGTTCTGAAGATAAAAAATAAAACTCAAAGCATCCAAAACAAAAAATAAAGCAGACTATGGAAACGGAGCAAAGAAAAATAAAAAATTAAAAAGAAACTAATAATAAAACAGAGGCGAAGCTGCGCTTCGCACACTTGAGAAACAACTATATTATCAAAATGAATAAAGATATGCTCAAACAGAAGAACATTAACCAAGCAACGACAAAGCCAAAAAAACCTGAGCAGAAACTCTTCAAGCCGAAACTTCAATAAATTCAAAACTAATTAAATTTTTTTTTATGTCCCCCTTCCCTTCATAGCACAGGCGCATCAAACGACGCAAAAAGAGGCTACTAAGCCGATATAAAACCAGCCTAAATCTGCTAAGCCGAGAAAAAAGAAATTTCAACAAACCGAGTGGCAAAAACACAACCCACTTACAAAATGCGGGGAGAGTAAAAATTGTGTATCGTGAACGACCACGCAAAAATAGGTCACTAAGCCGATAAGAAAGGCCGAAAAAAATTTGGCCGAGTAAAGTTCTTAAGAGAAACAAAAAAATACGAAGTCAAGGTAAGTAAAATTACAATTTGCAGGAGTAAATAAAACACTTTAAATAACATGAAGAAAAATGCGCACAGCAAAAAAAAAAACGATTCCAAGATGTGACAATTAGGCCGAAAAAAGATAAGCAGACAAATAGTTTGCCGAGAACTTCATTTGAAACGGAATATTTCCCATTCGAAAAAAAAGGACCTGGTCAGTTTCGAACCCAACACCATTGACGTCCCAGGCGTATTCGTTAGCTCTAGGCTAAAAAAGCCGGGAAAGCTACGAAATTAGAGATGAGTCTAGAAGAGTATTGTGAACTATGTTTTTACGGAAAAAATCTAGTACCCTATTGCAATAACTTGCTTATCGCAAGATTAATAATTAATAATAATAATGAGAATTGCTGAAAAACCAGATTTTCTCGAGACCGATATTTATTGTAAATTTCTTTATACAACCCAGATCCTGTATGATAAGGCTTAAATAAAATATCTTCGTTTACCCCCTATGAGAATTCTTTGGGTGAACACAAAAATTAACAGAATTAAAAATTTACCCTACGCCACAGTTGCTTCGATTCATGTCAGTTTCGAGCGTGTTATTGGTGATAGTAAATAGCAGTGAAACGCCAATCAGAAAATCATGATTTTCAGAAAAATGCTAAAATTCGTAACAAAAAAATTGTATAGCGAAAGTTTTGGTGATACTCATCGTTGATTGATTTTTAAGTGCCCATCCATTAAAAATTCGAAAGCCTTTCACGAAATTTCAATTTTAAATTAAGTTTTTTTATCACACATGCAAACATTTACAAAGAAGTTTTCTTGAAAATTATGTAAGTTGATAAATTAGAAAGATTGAAACAGTTACTTCCGATGAGAAAAAAAATTTGAAGACATTCGAAGTATCAACTAACCTTCATCCAAACCTCATCAAAGTAACTCATAACACGGTTCAAAATTAATCTGTGGATATTCCTTAACTGTGTGAATAGTTTTGAGAATAGTTTAATAATTAATCCCGTAATACAAGCTTATAAAGTCGTAAAAAATCTAATTTATTCAAAAGCACAGTGTGAAGAGAAAAGAAAGACTTTCGATAGATGCGAAAATAAATAGAAGTAAAACTCAGCTGCTAAAGTAAACGAAAAAATGTATGAGTTCTGCTAAAACCTGCTGATTAATTTGGCAAGAAACACACGCTGCTAAGTGTGCTCTAGTAATAAATGCAGCAATGAAAACACTCGAAAGCTAAAGAACTTTCGCGTCACAACAAGTCTACAATTAGATGATCATAAAAAATGAATGTTGGTAAAATCGCCATTTTTACAGATCCGTTACTAACACTAATATGTACAATTCATTTTGAAAATTCAAAAAATATATAAGCTGTTATGGAACTCAAAAAGATTCATCGCAAACATATTTTCAATCAAAAATTAAGACCTTTAAGGAAGTGATATGAAAGCACCATTATTGTAAAATCACTTTCAATACTTACTGGAAACTAAAACAAAATTACCGTAGAGATCATGCAAGGAGTTGTCGCGTAAGATATTCTCGAAGATCGCATTTCTATCGGTGAAAAACATATCAACTTAGACGCTGACTTTTAACTGACTTAAATCAATTTCACAAATTTTTCTGGATAAAATACACATACATACATTCACCTTCAGAATTGAGACCATCGGGAATAAAAATCATCAGTTAGACAGTTTTTTAGACAGAACAGAACTTAAACGAGTAACGCCATTCAGACCAGCCAAAATAAACCTAACTTTTAATTAAAAAGACCAAAGGTTTCAATTTTTCACTTCGAACAATACATTTGGCAGATCTGAATGAAATCTTTTTCAACGAAATCAAAACGCCTTTAATATTGCAAAAAATTCTTTGTATGAACTGTTTATGTACGAAATCAGATTGAAGATTTTGCAACATTTAAGCGTTTTTATTACCAGAAAGAAAAGACCCAAACCTTTAGATTAGGATTAGAAAGATGTTCATTATAAAGTTTGTAACTAAAACGTCAGTTGTTATGATAGACACCAGTAATAAGAACAGGCATTGCAATTAAATCCGGAATCATTTAACAACTTACCTCTCCATCGCAATTGGCACAGACGAAACTGATGAATCGAAGAATGAACGGGAGAAGAATAAATCAACTCAACAGACAAACGACAAATCTGAAATGAATTTCACAATGAAAAACGTGAACAACAGTTTGTTGGTAGAACACGCGTGATCTAGTTAAGATATCACACACCAAAGCGTGAAATAATAAAATTCACAATTACAGAGCTTAAAACGGTCATAAATTAGATTCGGCAAAAACTGCTTAGAAAGCATACAACGTCGAAATTATATTCGTCGGAAGCGCACGCACGTTTCGGAATTCTTTCTCATAAATCAAAGGGAAAAATCCACCAAATGCGAAACTAGATCCAATAATGTCGATAACAGTTGATCGTCGCAAAATATTATCAACAAGACGAAAAAATATAACATAAATAAAATGAATCAATTTTTTGACAAAGAAAATCGTTGGTTTTTCTTGACTTTATTAGAGAGAAGGTGAGTTTCTTAAACATAAAATAAACGACGAAAAGAATTACAAAATTTTCGGTATGAGAAAACGTTTAATGATTTTTTACACAAAGGCAAAGCTGAGCTTCGCACCACTATCGACATACCAGTCAGATAAGAAACTGATTTAAAACCTACAGTAACTATGAAACAATTCTCTAACTACGAAACAGCAGGAAAAAATTACCAGCCAAAAAGGAAAATTTTCCCACGCTTTCACATTAGCGCTTAAAGAGCGGAATAGTTTGATTAATGTTCCAATTTTTTTAAATGCTTTATCAGATTTCTTGTTAAAAAAGAAATTGATTAAAAAATTCAAAAAAAATGGAATATCTATCAAAACATAAAAAACTAGAAAACATACAGTACTACAAAAAGTTGATAATAAAGAGGTGCCACTTTTTAGGATGTTTTTGTAAGGAAGACTCAACTTAAAAATTTAAGTTAATAAGGTTGAGAGATTGTACAACCCATCCGTACTGAAACCCAATAAATCATAGGAAAATATTTTGCCTTCAAAACTAAGCAATATAAATTAAATAAGCCGGTAAATATTCCATCCAAACAAAAAAAACTATTCAAAATCGTAATTGGTGAAATTACAAATTACAGAAACTGTTTAAATTAAAATAAAACCAAATGGTTTAGAAACAAAGTCATTATTACAGAGGCTAAGCATTATTACGAGAAGAAATTTCCAATGCTAGACCTTAACTATAGCAAAAGTGCCACTAAGTAAGTGAATACTTTTAATGAACACTTTAATTTGCCTTAGAAGATTTGTTCTAATACACTACGCTGATCGCGAGTGTAAAAACCATACAAGA